GTTTCATCCTCTTGTACCTCTTAAAACTTGGAAAGTATAGCAGTCCTGGATGTGGATTTTCCTGCCAACCTTCAGGCTCTGGTCTCCATAGGTCCCTGTGTATAGTCTATTTTTGAGGATGGAGGAAATTGCAATTTGGGGACCTATTCTATCTACTGCACTAGAGGTTTTTTTTTTTTTTGCCTTCTGCTGAATGAGATTTGGAAAGGGAACTAAGATGACAGATTAGATCTTGGCAAGACTATAAGTGTAGAATAATCAGATATATTGGTTGCAGGCTTCTTAGAGGCATTACACTTGGCTGAGGGATGCAGGAGTTTGCCAATTACTGCTTCTATATTAAAATTCTAGTGTCTTTCTTTTAGCTCTTGGTGAGTATCTATAAGCAGCACACATTTGCCCCAAGATATGCAGGTCTCAACAGGAACCATGATACATGGGAGAGCTGAAGAGTCAAAGAAACTAGGTATATTTGACTGTGGAAGGCAAGTTATCTCTCAGCCATGGTCTGACTGGAGCTGCGCTCTGACAGCTGAAGGAGAGATTACTGTTAAAACTCCCATCCTGTCACCAGTGGCTAGAGATACTAGAGCTCTTTAAATCAAAGACCGAGGATAGGCCAGACTTCAGGAGAATTGATGAAGGCCTCTTTTAATTTCAAGATCTTCCTCACAGACTCAGTTGACTCTGGGTATTTCATGGAGTATGTGGAACCAGGAAGAAACCCTTGGATGGCATGGTAAGCAATAGGTGTGGAATGACTCAGACAAGTGGGGTTTTTCTCCATAGGGGGTGAAAACATGGTATTTTAGAGAGAAGCAGCATTTATACCACAATAATTCAGATACTATTTTGTGAGTCATTATTGAGCACCTACAACATATAAGGTTATCATATGCACAGCAATGTTATTTTCTCATCCCAAGGCACCTAGAGCCAACAGCACAAGGAATCTGAAGAAATTCACTAGGAGGTATAGTCATAAAGTTCTTATTCAACATAAAACTTATTAAGCATAAACCATGTGCCAGGCACTGGTGTAACTGGTGTAGGATCTAAAAATAAATCCCAGGGGCCTCCCTGGTGGCTCAAGGGGTAAAGCGTCAGCAATTTGAAGCAATCTGTAGCTACTGCAGCATGAGTTGGATCCCCAGCCAGGGAGGTGACCCACATGGCACAGCAGACCTCTCCTGTCTCGCCTGCTACTCCCCTCAGCAGTGTATTTCAATCTGCCTGTTCTGCTCCCCACTGTCTCTGGTGAATCCTCTCACTTCCTGCACCTCTGGTCTATACACCCCAGCTCTTCTATGCATAAATAAATAAATCCTAAAAGAAAAATAAATAAATCCCAGGCCTTTCAGGAAGTTTTTTAGTAGGGCCATCTTTAGTCCACCAATTTGAAGATTTTTTTAAAAATTTATATATATTTTACATCATTGTTCATTTTCAAACAATGTTTGCTTCCCCCCCACCTCCCTCAGGTGTAGTCCCCATAGAGTTTCCTTCACCAATGCACCCATGCACCATCACCTCAGTCCCCTGTGCTCCTCCCTCTTTCCCTCTGATCCCTCTCCCTCCCCCTCCCCTGCAGGATGTCTCTGGTTTATAATTGTTTTTGTTTTGTATTACTATTTTTTCTTATCATGTATTTTAGGGAATGTGGCAGGCTCCTTTTTTTGGAGCACTCCCAAGTACTATAAAAGTTCCCTGGCTATATTTAATGCATTCACATAATAGCACAAAGAAGTCACTAGACTCAAGTTGCACATCAAACACACATCTCTGATACAATTCATAGGTACTTTCAAGGATTCTATCACTAAAGCCTACATTCACCATCAGTATTCTAGCAAAAAGCATCACCAAAATTTAGTTAAACCATCTTTGATGATATAACTGATAAATTGAAAGATTTACATTTAAAGCACATATTTGGAGAGATCTATGGACTAATTGTCTCTAAATTGTCCTAGGTGTGTCCCCTTGATCTTTATCAGATTTACATGTTTTAGAGATTTTTCTCCACATATTACTATATTTTTATAATAATACATTTTAACATATTAAACATTGTTTAACATGCAATCATAAAGAGTTTTAGATATCTTACATTCAAGTCTTTGAAATGTGGCATAAAATTTTTTTATTGAGGTAATATTGGTTTACGACTTTTTTGTTTTAGAGATATAGGAGCTGCCCTTCCAGGTATTATTATACCAGCCCCACCACCAAAACAACCATCACCCAAGCATCCAGTTCACCACCATAGTCCATTGTGCTTCCTTTCCACTTTGTTCTCATCCCTTCCCCTCCCCTTCTAGGGTTTATTATTGGTTTGGCTTTATCTAATCTTTTGTTTTCTCCATATTTCCTATTTGACACACCATCTGGTATTTGTCTTTGTTCTTCTGACTTATTTCAGTTAGCATAATCTCCTCCAGCTCTATCCATGTTGTCCCAAATAGCAAGTTCAGCTTTTTTTTTTTTTTTTTTTTTTAAATATTAAATTTTATTTTTATATTCCCCCATACAATTGCAACGACCCATTCTGACCCCAATCCTTCCCCTCCCGCCCCCCACCCCCCAAAAAGTGTCTCTGGTTCATAGTTTTTTGTTGATTTTGATTTTCACTTTCTTATATTCATTTTCCTGGTCCCTTATTTAAGTTTTCTAGATTCCTGCTATGAGTGAGACCATCCGGTATTTTTCTTTTTCTTTTTGGCTTATTTCGCTGAGCATGATCCCTTCCAGCGCCATCCATGTTGCTGCAAATTGCATGTGTTTATCTTTTTTGAATGCTGAGTAATATTCCATGGTGTATATGTACCACATCTTCTTGATCCAGTCATCTATTTTTGGGCATTTGGGTTGTTTCCAAAGCTTAGCTATTGTAAACAGTGCTGCTATAAACATAGGAGTGCAGGTGCTCTTTGGAATTGATGTTTCTGTGTCCTTTGGGTAAATACCTAGGAGTGGAATTGCTGGATCATATGGAAGCTCTATGTTTAGTAGGTCCAGAAATCTCCACACAGCTCTCCATAGTGGTTGGACCAGTTTGCACTCCCACCAACAGTGCACAAGAGTTCCTTTTTCTCCACATCCTCGCCAACATTTGTTGTTGCTAGTTTTTTTAATATGTGCCATTCTCACTGGTGTGAGATGGTATCTCATGGTAGTTTTGATTTGCATTTCCCTGATTACAAGTGATGTTGAACATTTTTTCATATGTCTGTTGGCCATTTGCATTTCCTCTTCAGAGAAGTTTCTTTTTAGCTCTTCTGCCCATTTTTTGACTGGATTATATTCTTTGTTGTTGCTGAGTCTCATCAGCTCTTTGCAGATTTTTGTGATCAGTCCTTTATCATTAGTGTTGGGTGCAAAAATGTTCTCCCAGTTGGTGGGGTTTCTCTTTGTTTTTGTTATTGTCTCTTTTGCTGTGCAGAAGCTCTTTAATTTGATGTAGTCCCAGCTGTTTATCTTTGTCTTCACTATCACTGCTTTGGGTGATGTGTCTGTAAAGATGTCTTTGATGTGCAAATCCCGTAGTGTTTCGCCTATATTTCCTTCTATGTATTTTATGGTTTCAGGTCTTATGTCTAGTTCTTTAATCCATTTTGAGTTGATTTTTGTGTATGGTGTGAGGTAGTGGTCAAGCTTCATTCTTTTGCATGTAGCGACCCAGTTTTCCCAGCACCATTTATTGAACAAACTTTCTTTGCTCCAATGCATAGTCTTTGCTCCTTTGTCAAAGATTAGTTGACCATAAATCTGTGGGTTTATTTCTGGATTTTCTATTCGATTCCATTGGTCTGTATGTCTGTTCTTGTTCCAATACCATGCAGTTTTGATGATTATGGCTTTGTAGTATAGTTTGAAGTCTGGTAGAAGAAGACACAAAGAAATGGAAAGACATCCCCTGCTCATGGATTGGAAGAATAAACATTATTAAAATGGCCATCCTTCCAAAAGCAATATACAGATTCAATGCTATTCCAATCAAAATCTCAATGGCATTCTTCAAAGAAATAGAACAATTATTGATGAAATTCATATGGAATCACCAAAAACCCCGAATAGCCAAAGCTCTACTGAAAAAAAAAGACGGAAATGGAGGCATCACACTCCCAGACTTCAAACTATACTACAAAGTTCAGCTTTTTTGAGCGCTGAGTAGTATTTCAGTGTGTGTGTGTGTGTGTGTGTGTGTGTGTATATATGTATGTCCCCTAATATATATATATATAAATATATATATATACACCTCCACATTTGCGTGATCCACTCATCTATTTTTGGCGCTTAGGTTATTTCCTTAGCTTGGCTATTGTAAATACTGCAATGAACACAGGAGTGCCTATTTCCCTTCAAATTAGTGTTTTTGCATTCCTCAAGTAGATACCTAGCAATGGACCTGATGGGTGATGTGGTAGATCCATTTTTAATCTTTTGAGAAAATCTCATACTGTTTTCAATAGGGACCAGACCAGTCTACATTCCCACCAACAGTGTACGAGGGTTCCTTTTTCTCCTGATCCTCACCAACATTTGTTTCTGGGCTTTTTGATATGGCCATTCTTATAGGTATGAAGTGTTATCTCATTGTGGTTTTGATTTGCATTTCCCTGATGATAAGCAATAATGAGCATTTTTTTTATGTGCCTTTTAGACAATTTGCATGTCTGGAGAAAAGTCTATTAGGATCTTCTGCCCACTTTTTGATTGGTTTCTTTGCTGTATGAGTTCTTTGTAGATCTTTGATACAGGCCCTTGTTGAAGTATGGCGTGTAAATACTTTCTCCTATTCACTAAGATATCTTTTTGTCTTACTCACAGTTTCTTTTGTTGTATAGAAGCGGTTTAGTTTGATGTAGTCCCAATTGTTTATATTTTCTTTTGTTTTTCTTGCTGTTGGAGATAAATCCACAAAGACATCTTCCTTTCTTGTCAGGCTCCTCTATATATACCTAGCTCAAAATATTATGAAAAATTTAACAATAAGCTTGGGTAAAACCCAACATGAAAAGGCTCCAGCACACCACTATTTGTTATCTCTTCATATTTACCCATATTAGGATTAAAACAGAGAAATATTAAAAATAGTGATTCATTAAAAATTATGTTAACAAACTTTCATGAAATATAATTGTTTTCTAATATAAAAGCTTTAAAGTTAATGAGTGACTTTTTCACGTTTTTGCAAAACTCTTAGTATCTGGCATTAGAAAACTGAATTCTCATATCTACTGTATTTAATCTTCTATATGTTGTTTTAAGTTCTTGAAGAAAATCCAACTGCACATAGGCAATTAGAAAACAGAGGAACATTTTAATGGCCTTTCCAGAAAATTGTGGAGATTCCTTTCAGACCAAAACTCAACAAACAGTAGTTTCATAACCCTGGGTGAAAATCAGAATCATCTAAGAGGCTTTTAAAATGCATTGATCTACCTTAGCCATAACTTGGCTACTGTAAATAATACCGCAATGAACACAGGAGTGCGAATATACCTTTAAATTAGTATCTTTGCATTCTTTGGAAATAATGCCAACAAGTGGAATTACTGGATCATCTATATTTTGAGAAAACTCCATACTGTTTCCCATAGGGCTTTGCAGAATAGTTTTGTTGTATGAATACAGTAAATATAACACCATTGTCAGAAAAAAAGCATTGTCATCAATTAAAAGAAAAAAATTATAAGACTGTAGAAGGGTTGAGTGAAACTTTTAGCTGGATTTCTCTTATCTTCAATGCACCATAGACTTTAAATTCCTTGAGTTTTTCATTGCTATTAACCATGCTCAGAGTGGGGCATGGAAAGCTTGAAGTTTTTCTGTGTTCCTACTCTATCCCTCACTTTCAACCATCCCTATATGCCCTTGCCACAAGAGTGGAGAAGGTGTCTCTCCATGGGTCCTCTCTCATCCAAGCAGTAAATTCCTATTGCTTACTGGGGTTAGGTTGGGTTGTGGGGAAATGGTGCTCTCTGGTACTGACCCAGCTTATACTTTAAGCTAGGTCTCTTCTTCCTGAGGTTGGGGTGGGCTTTCTCAAGGTTCCTATCCTTGTACCCCATAACAAAGTCTCTTCTATCTTTTGGCAGAAACAGATTTTCACTTTGTATTGGTGTAGGGATTCTGAACCCAAGATGATTTCCTGATTGAGCTCAGCAATGCTCAATTTCTATTTGTATCTGGGACTAGTGTTTCCTGTTTCCTCAGGGGCAGATAGGTTTCTGTTTTTTTTTTTTTTTTCCTTACAGGCACTGGAATTTGGTCTGAGTCCAGGAGGTACTCTACATTACTCTAGCTGCTTCAGGTTTTCAAGAAAAAGGTTTTGAAAATCAAGTGGGATTTGAGCACGTGACCCAGTAGCAGCCTATCACCTCATGCTTGCCTGTGTCACTAAGGGTATCTCTCAACGTTCTTGCCCTGCATTCAACCTTTCTTGTATTTGCTGAGATCTGAATTCCTTAGATATGTGAGGCTGCTAGAAATTCTAAACTAACATGGTAACCCATATTTGGCCTGTAAAAATTTCATAAAATTTTAGTTTTTTTCTTATTGTTACATTTATCTCCATTGCTCTACTAGAGATGAAATAGTTCAAGACTAACTTTAAGACTTAGACCCATCTCAATTTACTTGGTTGTCTTGAAGCCTCAACTATCTGATAGGCTTAAGAAAAAATATTTTTATATATTAAGTGGCACTTGTTTATTAAGGTGGGAGCAACATTTTTACTTAGCTATCTACATTCTAAATGAAATCAGAACTCCCATAAGCATATTCTTACAGATGAATTTTATAGCTCTTTTCTAATTATGAAAATAACCTAAGAATTACAAGTTTGATTAGAATTTTACTCAACTTAATTTTGAGAGTATAGGTTAACTTTGGTCTTCCCATCCAGAAATACTGATATTCCACTCATTTATAAAGAGAAGTAACCCGAGGTACTTCTATGCAGTACATGATTTGTTAATTGTTTTTAACTTAAAGTACATATTGCTAAAAATACAAATAGAGGTGATCTCTGGAATTAAAACATAAAGATAAATAAGACAATCATAAATTATTAGGATGGAACAAAAAAATCATATGGGTACCTGGATTTTAAAAAAAAATTATATTTAGCTCTGAGGTTCTTGGAAGACATAAAGGGAAACAGAGGGTTTACAATTCTCATAGTTTAATAGAAAGATTGTAATTTTACCTGGAGAAATGTGTCTTGCATTGAATCCTAGGAGGATTTCAAAATGTAGTTTCTTTTAGAAGTAACAAGATAGAAAATTTGTTCAACCACTTTTGTAGAATACAGTGAAATATCCTTCAATTGACCATTCTTTTCCTCACCACAGGAATGGAAAAACAGGAATATTAAATAATAAATGTGAAAAGTTAAAGTAATCCTGACAAGTTTTTCAGAACAACTGTTGAAAATATTTATTTAGAAAACACATTAAGTTGGAAAACAGCAGGAAAAAAAGAACTATCACACTTCCTAGAATGCCATGCTAAGTTTAGTCTCACAATAAAAGCCACACCTATTTGTAGGTGAGGCCAGGGATGGAGTGTGGAGAAAAGTAAAGTATTGAGATAGAGGTAGAAGATAACTCTGCTTACTGCCTGCAAGTCTTGTTTGGAAAGGAAACTCTAGAAAACCATGAGTTAAGATAGCTCTAGGCTACTAGTATATCAGAGGCAGAACCAAAATAATCTCATGAAATATAGGATTTGTGTCGTTTTTTTAAGGTAACTCCCTAAGGGGGTTTGGTTCCACCAATAAACAAAGTTTCTAATTCTACACTAAGTTCATCCTTTGGGATATCAATGTCATCGCCTGTTTCTTCCCCAAGCTTCTTCCACCAGGGTGCTTGTACATGCTTCAGGGTGGTGAGATGGGCCAGCTTGGCCTTAGCTGCCACCGGCCTGGATCTACTTAGAAAGAGCTCAGGTTCTTGCCCTTCTGCCTCCTTCAAACTTGGTGCCTCTGCAGGAAACAGAAAACAAACCGATGAGTGAAAGAATTTTATACCAAAAAAGCTGAAACTTGGAAACTAGGGAGTTGGAACTCTACTATAGTAGGCAAGGGTGGGGTTTCAACTGTGAATCTATTATCATTGTTAGCTGTAGGACTACCAGAAGTTGTAACTGTGGCTGGCAGCAACTGTTTCCCCACCCCTACAATTATGTGTTTAAAAATAAAAAAGTTGTAGGGCCTCCCCGGTGGTGCAGCGGTTGAGCGCTGGGTTGCGAAGCTGCCTGCAGCCTCTGCAGCGTCGGTTCGATCCCCGGCTGCTCCCCGGCCACCAGAGGAGGGTCCCACATGGCACGCAGACCTCTCCTGCTGCCCGCTGCTTCCCTCAGCAGTGTACCTCGGCCCTTCTGCCTGCTCTGCTCTCCGCTCTGGCTCTGGTGAATTCTCTCACCCTCCCGCGCTTCTGACTGTACCCAGTGCTTATATAAACTTAAATAAATAAATAAATAAATTAAAAAAATAAAAAAGTTGTAGATTTTTCTTGATGGTTTATTCAGAGAACTGAAAATTTACAAGTAGAATCTCATCCTGTAGATAAGAGGCTGAGTTATAGTCCAATGACGTATCTAATCAAACAAACTAAAATCACAAGCAATGGCATTAAATAGAGGACCCTGGTCCTTTCTGTTCCACATATACTATACTAAAAGTGTTTCAGAGGCTGAGTGAAACACTGGCTCTCATGGCTGTGATGTCTCATTAAATGTACAAATGGTTGTGAAGGGCAGATGAGGTTTTTGTTATTTTTATTTTTTTTAATGAAAGCACTTCATTAAAAATTACTGAACAGCACTGTAAATACTGTCATCATCTACTTCTAAAATATGAACAAAATCTTTTGAGACTGCTTAACAGAATTTGGATAGCAGGACTCAGCATCTTTAAAGTCAATAACTTTGAGCGATAAATAAGAGTGATAGCAAGACTAGGGAGAGCAGTCAAGAAGGTTGGTACGGGATCTGTATCCTCTGAAAATATTGTGTGCTGGTATGACCTAAATGTAGAGATTTCTGAGAACAGGAGATAGGCTAACATATCATTAAATGGGGGTTTACCTTCTAAAGATTTTTGGGTATCACAAAATTGTACATAGGTTGTTCCTTTTAAGAAATAAAAGTGGAATGAGCACATACTCATTAACTGTTCAATATTGGTGCTGATCTGTGCCATCAGAGCTTCTCTGTGCTGCTGGGCTCTCTCTTCTAGGGCCCTGCCCATAAAGTAGTGTTGCAGGTGTTCTTGTGCTTGGGCATGGAGCTCCTTGTTGGTCATATCTGATATTTGAGAGGCCTAGGAACAGGGGACAGAAAAAAAACCTGTCACAGGAATGACAAATATATCAAACTACATTTCACCCAACCACTTAGTTCCAGAATACTTAGCTGTCTCTCATCTTATCAATTGAATCTTATGATTGACATCTAGAACTTTTGTGCAAACATTAAAGAGCCTCTTAAAAGCAGTTTTAGATGAAAATATGACGAGGAAGTTTCTTCTTGGTATGTGTCATACCTTACTTGCCAACACACTGGTATTCTAGGAAAAAAGATAAGGTTGAGAATTCATAGTGAAAATCACAAATGGCTTGGTAAAGACACAGGCCTGGAAGAAAGAGGCATACATAACAAGACCAATGTTTGCTCTGTACCCTAGTTTACAGACTGCTTTATTTTATACTCATTCCAACCCCACTCCCTGTAATTTTATAAACCAGTCAAAGGACTGACTATATTCCTTAGCAACTTTAAAGAGAATTTAACAAATTAGTTTGGACAAGGATGAACTTTAAAGCTAATAAAGTTTCTGTCACCACAGCTTTCTCAAATATTCTAATTCCTAAAATGGTATAGTTTATTCCAGCTAACACTATTTTCCAGTCAAGTAATCTTAAGCAGCTGCACTAAACATACTGCAACAATACGGCTAAAAGCAATATTTCTTTTTTAAACTAGAGTATGCATCAGAATCACTCAAGGCATATTATAAAAAAGAGCTAAAACTATACAACACTCAGAAGATAAGGGAAAACTTTCTTGAATATGACACTGAAGGAAGAAGGAACAAAAACAAAAAACAGACCAGTATAAAAGAGAGCTCACAGAATAGGAGAAAATAGTACAAATCACATATCTCATAAGGGATTAATATCCAAGATACACAGAGAACTTGTAAAACTCAATAACATAAACCAAGTTGATTTTAAAAAAATGAGCAAAGGACTCAAACAGACATTACTCCAGAGAAGACATTCAGATGGTCAACAAACACATGAAAAGACGCTCAAAATCATTAATCATTAGGGAAATGCAAACCCAAATAACAATGATATACTACTTCATATCCCTTAGGATGAATTAAGTATTGGCAAGGATATGGTGAAACTGGAACAGCTGCACACTGCTGGTGAGAAAGAAAGTGGTTTAGTGCATTGAAAATGGCATGGTATTTCCCCAGAAAATGAAAAATGGAATTGCTATATGATCCAGCAATTGTAATTCTGATTGTATACTAAAAGAATTTAAAGTAGGGACACAAGTATATGCTTGTACATCATATTCATAGCAGAATTATTCATAACAGCCAAAAGGCAGAAGCAACCTATGTTCATTGACAGATGAATAGAAAAAATGGGGTTATATACATACAATGGAATACTATTCAGTCCTAAAAACGGAATAAAATTCTGACATATGAGGAGGATTCATGTTTAAGACATTTTGCCAAATGAAATAGTCCCAGAAAGATAAGCACTATGTGATTCCACCTGTGATGTAGTTTAACTTACAGATATGGTTGTCTTGAGCAGGGAGGAAAGAGAATAGGAAAGTAGTGTTTAATGGGTTTTGGCTATGAACATTTACGTACAATGTTTGTATACATACAAACCCAAAAACATACAAATACTCAAGAGTGGTATGCTGAATAATGTGCTAGATATACATTTAACTTTTTAAGAAAATGCCTGTTCCCAAAGTACAACTAGCTTTACATTGCCATCCTAGTATATGACAGTATTACAGTTATTCCATATGCCTGCCAAACTTTGGTATAGTAGATCTTCTAAAGTTCAGTCATTTAAACAGATACTGTGATTTTAATTTGCATTTCCTTTATTGACTGATGGTGTGTTTATTTGCCATCCATTTATCTCCTTCGAGTGAAATGTCTGTTATGCTCAATTTAAAAAAACAAATTACTTTGTTTTCTTACTATTGAGTTTTGAGTTAAATTTTATATATAATATATGGATCCAAGTTCAATTTTTTAACATATGGATAACCAGATTTCTAGTTTCTCCAAACATTAACTGCATATTCCTGTCAATTATCAGCTAGTCATATATGTGGGTTTACTTTGAGATTCAATTTTGTTCTATTGATTTATGCTTTTCAAGTATTTACATCAATGCTACTGCTATGATTACAACAGTTTTATAATTCTTAAAATCAGGTAGTGCTAGCCTTTCAACTTTGTTCTTTTTGCAATCATTTGTACCTTTACATTTCCATATGAATTTTAGAAGTGGCTTATCAATTTCTACCAAAAAAAGGTGAGCTGGGATTTTGACTGTACTGAATGTTACCACTGTCTTGTTCCTGACTTTAGGAACTTCAGGTCTTTCACCATTAAGTATAATGCCAGTTGTAGATATCTTTAGTTAAAATAACTATTTTAATGTCTCTCTTTGCTAATTCTACTATCTGTAATAAGGTTGACTTCATGAAGCATCCGCATTATGGGTTTTGTTTCCCTGCCTGGATGCATGCCTATTACTCTCTGATTAGACACCAGACATTGTAACTTTTACCTTTATGGGTGCGAGGCATTTGATATTTCTAAAATCTTGAGCATTTTTCTGGAATGCTCTTAAGTTACATGAAAAACACTCTGATTTTTTTGTAATTTAAACTCTCCTTGTACTAAGGCAAGACCTTCATGACTCTGCATTCCAATGCCCTATAAATTATGAGTTTTTCTGGTACTATTTTCTAACTTGTGTAAATATCAGGCATCTTTCCCTTTTATCTTTTCAGAAGACTGTTTTCTTAGCCCTGCGTGGTTTTCCTTACATGCATTTGCTGATCAGTATTCTGAATTACTCAAGGGCAACATTCTGCAGATATTTGGGGTTCTCTTTGTAGTTCCCTTTACCCTCATAATCCCTATCTTATGAAATTTAGCTGTCTTGCTCTTCCTAGACTCTCAGTGCCACCTCTCTACTTTGATGATTCCAAAGATCAACTGCTCTATTTCTCCTTCCTTGTGTTATGACCTAGAAACTCTTTCAAGGCAGTAGGACTTGCTTTTTCCCCCCTCCTCAGGGACTGCTATCTTTGTTGTCTGACATCCATGGTCTTAAAAACCATTGCATCATGTATTTTATCATTCCCTATCCCCCCTCCCTCTGCCTGCATTGTTTCATGTAGGAAGAAAATCCAGTTCCCTTACTCCATCTTGGCTAGAGTTAGAATTTTTTCCTATTGTTGACTTGTAAGTGGTAACCACAGAGAGTTCTGATATAGTAGGCCAGGCTTGCCCTCTTTTTCTCCCTACAGCTCGCATGATTGTGTGCATATTAAGTTCATATTAGTGGATGAGGTTGTAGGAGGTCTTACTTATGCCCTCTGGACTGAGCCATGCTTTTCAATTCAGCTTTTACCAACGTTCTGTTCCAGTGGTTAACAGTTGCATGTTCAGCCACAATGCATTAGTACTCCTAACTTCCATCACAGTTTTTTTGTTTTTTGGCTTTTTAGCATAAAGTTCTCTTTTTAAAGAGTTGTGGAAGAGTAGAAGGGTGAATGACAGGATTACCTAAATATCACATCAAATCTCTAATATAAGTTACCCAGAACCTTTATTATTAAGAGTGTGTATGTTTTGTTGAGGTGAGTAGGAAAGAGACTGGGGAGGAGAGAGAAAAACAGAGGTATCAATGAAGAGACAGACAACAGAATAACAAAATGAATATGAAAAATACCAAGTAGTTTTTTTATGAGTGGTAAGTTTAAATAAAAGAAGTAATAATTCTGATATTAAAGAAATATGAGTATGGGAGAAACAACAAATGAAAGGCAAATAACTGACTTGAAGCAAAGTTTCCTTTACTACTGACTATACCTCTATGCACGGGTAATTATAAGAAAACTCCAAATCAAGTAACTCTATGATAAAGCCACTGCCTTACCTTATACCAACAATAAGTGTACATATAGATCTGAGACACTGCTTTGTTGGTAAATATCATAACTGGAATAATGTAACAATGATACCATGGCACAAGGGCCTACATACTGGATGTCTTCTGACATATTCATCCACTTGTCGCTTCAGTTCAACTCTGCGGGTGTCTGTGAGTTCTGGGAGTCCTTGCCAAAGGGCACACAGTTGTTTTTTCTTACGGCATTTTGCTAGGAATTTAAGAGTCTTAAGAAAAAAAAAGAGGAAAAAAAAAAAGCTATTTAATTTTTCTGTTTCTTTCCTAACAAACTATTTTTTTCCTACGACATATGGTAGCCTAACATTACAACAGTTGTTAATTCTAAGTGTGTACAGGGAGAGGGATAGAATTATAATGGGGAAAGGGAAGACAGTAATTTTCTACAAAATATTATTTGTAGTGTTTTAAAATTTACAAGGATATAGTCATGTATTATTGAATAATGGGCAATGAAAAAGGAAAATACAGGCAATAAGCATTGTCTTAAATCTAGCCCCTTATAAATTATATGATTTGGGGCAAGTCACGTGATCTCTATAGGAGATTTTTTATGTCTAAAGAAAGCAGAAATATGAATTATACTGCGCCTACAAGACTAAGGAGATCAAAAAGACAGTATATAAAGAAAAAGCTTGATAAATGAGAAAATATAAAATTATAAAGTATGGGTTGCTGACAACAGCATTTTCTGAATCTTTTTCCCTATGTCCTTTATAATGAACTCATGATAAAACAAGAAGTCTTGTTAACAGGTAAGATTTGGACAAACGTGAAATTATTCTGCCCAATATTCCCCCTATTCTCCTTTCTTTGCAGTTTCTTTTTATTTTCATCAGTTACACACTGATTTTTTTTAAAAGGACTGGCAAATTATAGTCGACAGGTCAAAGCCAGTCTTGCTTGTTTTATATGGGCTAAGGGATAAGAATGGCTTCTTGCATTTTACATTAAAAAGTTCAAAAAGAAAAAAAAATATTTTGTGATGTGAAATGATGTGAAATTCAAAATTCAGTATCTATAAATAAGGTATTACTGACATTTTAGGCTCATTTATTACAGATTGTCTATAGCTTCTTTTGTGCTACAACTGTAATGTTCAATTATTAAAAAAGACTGCATGGGCCTACAAAGTTTAAAATATTTTACAATTTAGAGCTTTCCAGAAAATGCCTGTTGATGTATCAGTATTATATGATTACCAAAAAATTTATAGTTATCTGGCCCACCCCCAAAGAGAACTTTAACATTTTTTTGATGATTATCTACTTTTCTTTGATTTTTTTCAGATACAGGTATTAAAATGTATTGACTTTCTTACAGTATGGAAGATAAGGATTTAGTTCTTTTATTGCTGTATTCTTACCTACCTTCTATATCCCCCAAACACTCAATTTTCTTATAAATTTAGTTAAATCAGTATTTAGTGTTTACACAATTATGACTACATGAAAGCTAATTTTTGAACCACATAGTATATGATTATCTTTCTTTCTTGCACTTTTTTTAATTTTTGCTGGAAATAATTGTTTTTCTGTGCTTAGTCTTCTAAGCATAAGCACTGATTATAGATCAAAAACTGTGCCCTGTCAATACAATAAAACAGATCAGACTTGCTATCAAATCCATTTTTTGGAACACATTTTTTGGAGCTGAGTTACTCTAATCTGGATTGATAGGTCTCTATGCCTGGTTCCTAACTGTCATCCTGAGACCTCCATTCTGAGATGACTTACTTTCATTTTGTGTTTCCTGGGTTTCATATTGTCCTCTTTTTAAAGTTTTATTTATTTATACAAGAACTGGGGTACAGTCAGAGGCACGGGAGGGTGAGAGAATTCACCAGAGACAGTGGGGAGCAGAACAGGCAGACGGACCAAGAACACTGCTGAGGGGAGCAGTAGGCGCGACAGGAGAGGTCTGCTGCGCCATGTGGGAATCTCCCTGGCTGGCCGGGAATCAAACCCGTGCTGCAGAGGCTGCAGACAGCTTCACAGTGCAGTGCTCAACCTGCTGCGCCAGCCAGGAGGCCCTGTCCTCTTTCTTGGGTCACTTCTTTGTTTTAGAGACTTTATGAAGCTAAAAATATCTTTAATTTATCCATGCTTTTAACTGATGGTCTGATTGATTGGTCATAAAATTTGAGTTGGAAATCATTTTCCCTCAAGCACGAGAAGTACTTTTGTCCACAGTGTATGTTAGGTAATTTGAGATAAATGGGGTTATGTTTCTGTCACTGTACTGGATATTTACTCAGCCTTGTTTTTTTGTAATTGAGGTAACGTTGGTTTACAATGTTGTTTGTGTTTTAGAGGTACAGGATATCCGATTTGTTATCATACCTCACCCACTGCCCTAAGTTTACTACCATAATACATTGTATTCCCTCCCTTTTCTCTTCCCACTTCCCTGCTCATTCTCCCTCCCACACTGATAGCCTCAGTTTTATAGTCAGATTTCTAGGGTTTGTTACTAGTTTGGCTTTATCTAACCCTTTATTTCTCTATATTCCACATATAATGACAACATTTGATGTTTGTCTTTCCCCTTCTTTATTATTTCTCTTAGCATAATCTGCTCTAGCTCCATGCATGTAGTCTCAAACAGTAAGTTTTTCTTTTTTGCTAGCTGAGCAATACTCCATTTTGTGTATATAGACCACATCTTCCTTATTCACTTATCTGTCTTTGGGCACTGAGAATGTTTCCACAGTTTGGCTATTCCATTGGCTAGTGCTGCAATGGACAGAGGAGTGCATACACCCCTTCAAATTAGTGGTTTTGCATTCCTCAGGTAGATAACCTGTAGTGTAACTGCTGGGTCATACAGTAGGTCCCTTTTAATCTTTTGTGAAACCTCCACATTATTTTCCATTGGGGCTGGATCAGCCTACATTCCCATCAACAGTGTAATAGGGTTCCTTTTCCTCTACATCCTTGCTAACACTTGTTTTTGATATGGGCCCTCCTCACAGGTATGAGGTGGTATCTCACTGTGGTTTTGACTGGCATTTCCCTGATAAGTCATGACAAGCATTTTTTCCTGTGCCTGTTGAATATCTAAATGTCAAGTGTCTAGCTCTTCTGCTCATTTTCTGGTTGGGTATTTTTTGTTGTTGTTGATGAGATATATGAGTTCTTTGTAGATTTTTGCTATCAGACTTTTGTCAGATGCATGGTGTGCAAATATGTTCTCCCATTCAACAGGGTATCCTGTTTTAGGGAGTTTCTTTGCTGTGCAGAGTTGTTTATTTTCATGTAGTCTCAACTGTTCATATTCTCTTTTGTTTTCCTTGCTGTTGGAAACAAATCCACAGACATCTCCGAAGTCTATGTCATGAATGGTGTTGCTTATGTTTTCTTCTAGTTTCCTGTGATTTCAGGTCTTAAATCTAAGTCTTTTATCCATTTTGAGTTGATTTTTGTATATGGTATGAGAGAGATTCTAATTTCATTTTTGCACCTTTCTCTTTTTTCTTTTTGTTAAAGATTTATTTATTTGTTTATACAACACTGGGTACAGTCAGAAGCACGGGAGGGTGAGAGAATTCACCAGAGCCAGAGCGGGGAATAGAACAGACAGACTGACTAAATACACTGTTGAGGGGAGCAGTGGATGTGGCAGGAGAGGTCTGCGCGCCATGTGGGACCCTCGCCAGTGGCCGGGGATCGAACCGGTGCTACAGAGGCTGTGGGCAGCTTCGCAACCCAGCGCTCAACTGCTGTACCACCACAGGAGGCCCTCTGTCAGTTTTTTCTAACATTTATTGACGAGGCTTTCCTTGTTCCAGGAACAAGGTTTTTTTGGTTACAGATTAACTGTCCATATAAGTATGGGTTTATTTCTGGGCTCTCAATTCTAGTCCATTGGTCTGTGTGTTTTGCTCCAATACCAACCTGTTTTGATTATTGTAGCTTTTCAGTATAGTTTGAAGTCTGACGGTGTGAAAACACCATTCTTTTTTGTCAAGATTGCTTTGGCTAGTCAGGGTCTTTTGTGATTCCATATAAATTTCAGTAGTGTTTGTTCTACTTCTTTGAAGTCATCCACTGAAACTCTGATAAGGATTGCACTAAATCTATAAATTGCCTAGCGTAAGATGGCCATTTTGACAATGTTAATTCTTCCAATCCATGAGCAAGGAATAACTTTCAATTTTTGTGTGTTTTATTCTTTTAACAGTATCTTAAGAGCTTTCTTTGCATAGGTCCTCCACCTCCTTTGTTAGATTTACTCTGAGGTAGTTAATTCTTTTTGATGTAATTGTAAATGGAACTGGTTTTTTTTTTGACTTCTTCCTCTTCTATCTCATACAGGAAGGCAACTTTTTGTAACTGACTGTGTAACCTGTAACTCTGCTAAACTAATTTATTGTTTCAACTGTTTTTTTCATGGTGTCTGTATGGTTTCCTTCAAATAATGATAGCTTTTACATTCACTGGATACCTTTTATATCCTTCATTTGCCTAACTGCTACAATTAGGATGTCCAATAATAAACTGAATAGTGGTGGTGAAAGTATATATCCTTGCCTTGTACTAGATCTTACATAAAACAGAGAAAATGATAAAATAGCATAAATAAGTCAATCAAGACTATACCACTTTCTTTCATAAATATATCAAAAAGACATGAATACTATAAAAAAAAAAGTCTAAAGGGTAATGTTTCCATATTGGCTTTGACATAATATAAGCATAAGGGGAGGTGGGTAGCTAAATCCTAGCATACTGTTTATGAAAAGCCACAATTTAGAAACTACTTTAAGCTCTTTCCCTGTATTAACTCATTCATTCCTTACAATAACCTCCTAAGATAAGTACTAGTATTATTGTCATCCACACATGAGGAAACTGAGATACAGAGTTGAAATAATTTTTCAAAGATCATATACCTGGTAAATAGTGGAGCAGAATCAGAACCCAAGAACTTTGCTGTTTTTTACTGTTATGTGCAAAGCCTACCTCATAGTTGTTTGTAAAAATTAAAAATTGAGCTGTAAGTAAAACCTGTAACATGATTCTTGACTTGTGATAAATGCCCACTCCAAGGGAGCTATAGAGATACCCATTAAAAAAAATAATGATCTAATTATATCTAATATATCATCTGTACATTATAAAAATCAAACATGGTAAGTTGCACACACAATGAACTTTGCAATTTACAAAACATAATTAGGTCATCTTTTCCAAATAATTGAATAAAAATAGAAGGGTAAACAACCATTCATGTATCAAGCACATGCTGAGAGCTAATAACAACAACAATATAGACTTATTAGTTCCTTAAGGAGTTCACAGTTGAAGAAAGAAAAAATTAACAAATAACAATATTACAGATGGTGAATGATGTACAAGGGTTTATCTAAGGACCAAATCTCTAAATCAGTTTGGTCAGTGATAAGGAGATTCTTAATTTGTAGAGGAAGAAACTAAGGCTCAAGAAAGCTAAGTGACTTGGTCAAGCCTTTACAGTACATAAACAGCAAAGTTAGGTTTGAACCCATGCTTCTGCCTCCTATTTAGTACTCTTTTTGCTACATCAGACTCACTGCTCTCTGAAGTGTGACAGCTGCTTTATACTCCTTGAGAGATGGCCTCTGTTGGTGAAAAATTTTCCTTTCCCTGTACCCTCGCCAATGTTTCTGGATAATCAATGCTGATTTCTCTTCTAGTTCCCGATTATGTTTTTCCACCTGACCTAAAAAGATGACAGACACTATTACAAAATACTCACTACTATGCTTTCTCAAGTTCTGGAATTAGGACAGTGATATTAAAAATCTTGCAATCCTTTTTTTCCCTCTCAATGTTGTTCACTATTTTCCAAAACTATTATCTCACAATGGTTCTAAGATTTGAAAAACAAAGAGCTCCAAAAGCTTTCTTAGATTATGCAACTTCTTTAGAGGAAGGGATCAATGAAAAAAGGGATGAAAATCCAATCGCAAGAACATTTACAAAAAAGAATTATGAGTACATAATTAGGAAGTCACTCAACACCACTAGAAGAGCAAAAGTTATAAATTTTGCTTCCAAGTTGTGCTCCCAAGTTTCTTTTATGCCAGAATGAACCAATACCTTTAAATTATAAATAGTGATGTAAACCAATGTTACCTCAATAAAGTAAAAAATTTACCATAATTGAAAAAAATATACTAATGAGTTCATTGCATACATTGAGATACACTTAAGAATGTCATTTTTTATGTTAGGTGAGTAAAACTGTAATTTGTCAAAAACAATTATTTTAAGTCACTCAACTGGTTCAATGAATGACTTCCACTTTACTTTCTGGAGCTGCTGGAGGTTAAGAGAACTCTAGGATGTCTTAATAGACAGGAAACTGAGTAGACTGTTGGTGCAAATACCTAAGGAGGATACTGGGACCAGAATATGAGGGGAAGATAGAAACTGTTTTGGATACTGGGACCAGAATATGAGGGGAAGATAGTGACTGTTTTGGATACTGGGACCAGAATATGAGGGGAAGATAGTGACTGTTTTGGGATGTGGATAGCTATTGTAAAATTATCTGATAGGCAGCTGGGGACAAAGCTGAGCTACTCAATATAGTAGACACTGGCCACAAAAGGCTACTTAAAAAGTTCAGGTTTTTGTATGCACTAGCCACATTTCAAGTACTAATAGCTACCTCTAGTCAGTGGCAATTGTATTGCACAACACAGATATGGAGCATTTTATTTTGTAGAAAGTCCATTGGCAGTGCTAGTTTAGAGCTTAGGAAAAAGGTTGAGGATGCAGACAAGATTTGAGAGTGCTCACCTACTCAGCTGGCAATTGAAGCTATAGTTTCAGGATAGGATAACTCCAGGAAGAGTAACATGAAAATGATAGGGTGAGGACAAAACCTTGGGAAATATCTATATTTGAGGCAAACGAAGAGAATTAAGAAGCTAGCAAAGGACACTGGGAATGAGTAGTAAGAAGGGAAGGGGAAATAGCAAAAATAAAAAATCTTGAAACTACTCCAGACTACACTTTAATATTAATTTCAGCTTATTATTTCAAAGGTGGCAAAAATATGTCACAGATTTGTATTGAGTTATGAATAAGGTTCCAATGGCAGAACATAGCAATATTCTACTTTCTAAGTTCAAGAGGATTCTTGATGTCTCTCAGTTATATGTAAGCTTAATTTATCCGTAATACAAGAATAACTAGTGGAGAGAGTGTCATCAACAAACAGGCCTTGAGAAGAAAAAATAATAACTTTGTTTGATGCAAGGAACTTAAGTTTTATCTGGGAAAAAAATAAAAAACAAACAGGGAAAAGTCTAAAATAGAAATTATTAGATCGGTAAGAAATTTGGTTTATTAAAAGATGCTCTAAATATTGTTATACTTATAAAATTGACACTGCCACACACCTGGATGAACTATTTCAAGCATATTCAGTCGTAATTCACGGGAAAGTCTCATGGCTCTCTGTCTTTGAAGTTGCAACTGTAATTTGCGGTCTTCTTCTTCCTTCTGACTATTTTGCTTCAATAATATCTTTGCTCGTTTATATCTGTGATGGAAACAGTAAGCACTTTACACACAACTTTCATAAATCATAAGTCTACTCAAGAGTACATGAAAAAAACACTTAATCTCACCAATAATCACATAAATTAAGATGGAAAAAAATTTAAAGAGGAATTCCTAGTGCTGGATGATGAAATTATGTTTTCATGTACCATTGCTATACATTCCTTTCTGGAGAAATACTTGGAAATATGCATCAAACGTCCAGAGAAATACTTAGAATATGTATCAAAAGCCTTAAAAATGTTGACCAATTCCATTTCTGATAATTTTTCTAAGAAAATAATCATATCTATAAAGATTTATATTCAAGGATGTTTCCCATAGCATTACAATAGTAACAAATTAAAAACAATCTCCTATAATGGGGAGTTGGATAAATACTGGTTTATTCAATGTATGGGATTCTATGAACCATGAAAAAATAAAAACTTCAGAGTATTCAGTCACATGAAAACATACAGCTACAATCCAATGTCAAGTGAAAATAAAATCAGGATACAGAAGAGATTCAAAATATATAAGAAAATATATTTCTTATATAGAAAGAAATGATTAAAAAACATTAAAATTTCAATGGCAATGTTCACTGCATGGTGTGATTATATGTGCTTTTTATTTTCTTCATTTTTACCTAATTTTCAATTATTATTAAACATTTTTATAACTGACTATAAAAATTTTCATATGGTCTCAAAGTTATTTCACTGGCATTTCTGTATTTGCTTTTATTCACCAAAATTTGTCAGCCATTTCAATCCACATTTGATTCCTTCCTGTATCACTATGTAAGGACACTGCAAGAACATCACTAGTATTAGTCTACTAGTAGATTAGTAAAGAAACTCAAAATGCCTTCAAATACTCATGGAGGGGAAAAAGAATAAGACGGGGTGCAAAATGCATTATTTATCTCTAATTTGCAAATGTCCAACTCAAGGGCATTTGCTCTCTCTTAGAGGAATTAAATTGCCAACAAATGTGGCACCTTGGCTATACCTCCGAGGACAGGCAGACTTCATAATGGTATATTTAGAAAGGATTATATTGATTTTTAACTCAATTTGTTTTGAAAAAGCAAAAATAATAAGGTGTACTACAACTTTAAAAAGAAACCATTTAAGGTAGTGAAGTAAAACTCACCAAATTATTTAGATAGAATTATGTGTTACGTTTGTTTTTAACAATTTATCTGTTACCAATTTAAATCTCCTTTGGCTTCCCACTTATGCCAGAGTTATAAACCTGTTATAAAAGGTAGAAACACCTCACAAGTGTAAGAAACACCTCACAAGTGTTCTAGAGGGGATATAGGGTTTAGCTGAATAGTTTCTAAGTGTTTTTTATTCTTCCTGAGAGTTTGGAGATCAAATAAGGGTTTTTTCCTTCCCAAAGAAACTTGTCTTTGTTACAAACTACCCCCAAAACTTCTGGGTTATACAGCATGTAGATAAGGATGTTTTGCCTTTTACCTATTATGGAGGAAAAGAGAAGAGCCTCTGAACAAAATTGCCTTTCAAAATGATTAACAACAAAACACAACCCCACCTGTTTCTAACTTCTAATTGGTCATAGATTATAATGTCTATTTCGACATTATCAGTATTTTTGATATCGTATTAGTGTAAGAACACAGTAATCATTAAAACTGCACTGCAAGGACATTTGATTTGTCAGAAAACTGGGTTCAGGAAAAAGCTTAGGAATGAAGGTTAATCAATATGACAAAACTGAAAAGACAATGGAACATGTAGGTGAGATAAACCAGAGACAGAAGAAAAGTGAGGTTCAGGGACTCAAACTAGTAATTCTAGTTTGTAAATGTGTGCTTCTGGAATTACATGAACATTTTTAGGAATTGATGTGACTTTGGATGCTATATTTCCCGTCTAACTGTTCTGTGGGTAATGGTTTCTATAAAAAAAAATTAAAAGATTTGTGCATTCAACTGGATTCTTTGCAAGAAAGAGTAGGCATATGACCATCTGGTATCTATACTGCCTTTTTAAAAAGAAAAATATAGAGTAGACACTATTTTCTTAAAATAATTTATAAGTGCATTTTATGAATTACATTTACCAACGTGGAATTTCACCATCAAAGAGGGAAGTGACCAACTATTCACTGTCAAGAGGTCAGCAATTCCTCTGCTGTAGAGTTAAGTGAAAGTGCTGAGTGCCAGATGAGTTAATGGGTAAAGTAGCTGATGGACTATATTCATTAACAATAAACATTTATCTGAATGATTGCTGTTTGGTATTATCTCTCAGGCAAATAGACAAGAGATACAGTTTTCTTAAGTACTCAGTTTCAAGATGAAGCTGAAGGACATCAGAATATGATATTTTGACATAAATTATTATTTTAAGCAGGAGGCAAATGAGAATCAACAGGTGCAGAAAGCAACCCTCTCAGTGTCCCTTATCAGACTAGAAGCAGAAATGTCTAAGCAGTGAGGACTGCCCAAAATGCCCTCTCCCAAAAAAGCTTTAAAGTGATGAGATGATGAAAAGTTGGTGCCAAGATGGAACTGCATATATAACCTCCATCTTCCATTATTTTCCCAATATGTCCTTCTACAGTTTATTGCCCTTGAAAGTCTACATCCTTTTTTAAATTTAGTACTTCTCTACAAATTACAAATTTAATTTTCTTTAAGATGCTACATAAACCCAAGTGCTAACCACCCCTGTTACTCATTACTTACAATGTTTCTTCTACATGTGTTGCAAGTATTAGTAATTGCTTTTTTCTTGTTAATATGTTGTCATTTCACCATTCAATTAACTTATGATGTATAGAGAAAAAAAATACTTTCATATGCAGTCAAGCAAATATAATTGGGATATCTAAACATCAAAACCATGACAAAAGTTGGTAAACTGTGGTTTGTAGAAGGTAACTGAAGTAGTTGTTATCTGTTTCAGAAAACTTTGCTGAGGAAAATAGTATTTAACGGAAAATAAAATTTCCAACTATGAAGTTATTAAATAAAAAAGGAACCCTACAAGAAAGTACTTTATCAAGGGTATAACTGTAAAAGACTATCTCTTGCTGAAACTAAAGGATCCTGACAAATCTGGACTCACAATTCTGAGAGATGAGCAGTCCTGCAAAAAAACATATGAAGGGGAAGGAGATAATGACCTGACCACAAAGAGACAGAAATAACCTTTGCTGAAATTCCAGTTACAAAGGCAGCAAGAGAAATTTGCATAAACAGCTGCAACTAATAGAAGTGAAAAAGTGCTGAAGTCTGGAGCAAACCTGAAATTGAATATAACCCAAAAGTTTAAATTACACTTCAGTGTGTCCTAAAAGCTCAAACTCAAAATACTGGGGGTGGGGGGGGGTGGGGACCAAACTCAGTATAGTATGAGATTTAAATAAGTTTGACTTCACAGCTGTTTTAAAGGGAATATCTGTAATTAGTCTGGTTTTGTTACATAAAGAAATGGAGTTTCTATTTTAAAAGACAAAATCTGTAATCCTGTGAAAGTAAGCTTTTAATATTGTAAGAAAAAGTAAAATGACAAATTTGGTAACTACTGTGGGACTCAACATTAAAGTCTGTGGCCTCCCCGGTAGCCTTAGGGATTAAGTCTTAGCACTACCATCTCCACGGCCTGAGTTTGATCCCCAGCCAGGGAGCTAATCCACATGGCATAGCAGACCTCTCCTGTTTCACCTACTGCTCACCTTAGCAGTATATTTCAGTAGGTCTGCCTGCTCTGTTCCCCACTCTGTCTCTGGTGAATCCTCTCACTCCCCCCATTACCCCCACCACCACACCTCTGGCCTGCACTCCAGTCCCACGCAAAAATAAATAAAATTTTTAAAAAAACAAAAAACATTAAAAACAAAAACAACTCAATAATCATATCCATTCATGCTCTATTTACTGAGGAATATCATATTAATATACTTACATCTTTATATACTTATACAAGTTTTTACCATAACTACATTTGAACAATTATGGCAAATTTTGGTGCTGAGGGCTAATAAGATAACTGATTATCACTGGCTTCCCCTCAACAGGCTTGACTCAAAACATTAAGTAATTTGATTTTAAGTACATCATACTTCTATCTTCCATTATGTCCTTTGCTTTGATAGTGCATGTGGTTAGTATTGGTTCTCAAAAATGTATAGAATAATGAAAGCAAAAGCAAAGAAACAGATTTGGACCTGAAAACACACGCATACATACACTTTCCATAACTTTTTTTCAGCTGTACTCTAATATGATTTATCTACCCACTCGCAGATCATGAGTCTTCTCACCAATATTTTTTTACCTGAATCTCCTCTGCAAAGTAATCACAGCAGATGGAAGCTTCTTTAATCTCCTTCTAGTTTGGAAACCCTTCCAATAAGCTTGAATCAAGCAAGCTGCTTGATGTAGTTTCTAAAATTAAAGGCCAGAATTAACATAGCGACATCTTTAGGAAAGCATTTTTTAGAAAGTTTTAAAATGGCAGGTCTATACAAGTGTTAATCTCTGTCTCTAGAAATAAACATTTTCATAGGTCCAGGACAAGGAAGGCCTAAGAATATTAAACCTGACCTCCAAAATGAGACATGCTGGGCTCAGTTAGGCAATATCCAGAATGTATACAAATTATAGGCCGGTTAGCTTCAAATTCTCTCTGATTAATCTCACTTCATTCTCTTTTCAAAGATTTCTTAATTCTGCAAACCTCTTTGCTTGGCTTCTTATGCCTGGCCTCACCTACTCAAGGTTTTAAGCATCTAAAAGAACTCTGTACAGGTTTTTAAAAAAAAAGGGCTCATAGTAAAAATTTAGTCCATATATAATCTTTTCCCCCATTAAACTATGACTGTTTGGGATGTTAAGGGGAGAGAAGAAAAGGAGAAAGTAAATGAAAGATTCAAGAGACTACATCTCTCCAATATTTGGAACTAAAATGTTTACTGAATGGTTAGCAAATATCATGCAAATTATTTTTATAACTTAATACCTGTTCTTCTACTTCCTGATAAGTAATTTAATACCTGTTCTTCTACTTCCTTATTAGGGCTCAGAAGGCCAATGAGCTGTCTAAGTTCTTGATTAAACTCTGTCCCAAGTTCCTGTTGATAAAGTAAACTCCTGAGACCTGAAATAACAAAGGTATAGCTATTAAAAATAAAACATGATTTTGCTATCTAATCAATATTAATTTGAGGTTTAAACATCAAGTTTAGAACAAATGAACAAAACAAGATTAATCACATGATTTTTCTTCTTACTTTTCTCAAAGTTTCTAGATCAAGGTTGTTAGGATATTTCTCTGTCCTAAGATTTCTTATTTGTTAACTTGTGACAGCTGATACAAAACCTGTCTTGTCAATCTAACTAAAAAAAGGGGAGTGGAACAGCTATGGTCAGTCCGAAAATAAAGATATGTAATTTTTTTTCTGTGTTAAACATACTGAATAAATGCATACCCTGTGAAAGCACTTAAATGGGTTATTAGTCATTAGTAACTAAGGAAATTATATTTAATAAAAATACAGTAATGGATATAATTTTGGGAAAACAGGTTCCTGAGCAAATATTACAGAAGTGCTATAACACTAAAATACTGCATTTTCATCCCAAATAAATCAGAGTTAGTAGTATAATGTACAAAATAAGTACCATTTCCAGGGCATATTGGAGTGATATATATATTTAATAAAAAGGTAAAATGGCAATGGGGTTATACATTTGGGAAAGCAACTACATAGATCTTTCCATCCCTTATTCTCTTCTCAAGACTCAAGTTTTCACCAGTATAATTGTAAAAAGAATGTGAGGAAATGGAGTAAATGCCACAACTGAGAAAAAGGAGATAGCTTGTTAAGGTAATATTCCTTTATAATGAATTGTTGGACATTCACATTTTTGTATAATAAGTGACAGAATTTAAAAATGTGTATCTGGCAAAATGTCTTCTAGAGAGTTCCTGAAATTAATGTACAGTAACTGCAATGACCATAGTAATGACTGATGTAGGGTGATGATGCTTTCCAAATTATCAAAAATGATTAAAAAGCCAGTGTAACTGCTTTGGTTAAATACACATTAGAGTCTAAGCTTTAAAAATTCCTTTAAATATAATTCTGCATTAACAGTACATTAACAAACTAAAATAGAAACCCATTTCCAAACTACGTTAAATAAGAAAATAAAATACAATTAATTCTCACTAGTAATGAAAGAACACAAAACCAACATAAAACTTTACATGGATATTGAAAACAAAAACAAAACACGGCCTATCTATGTGATCTTTGGTGAATTACCAAATTTTTTCCATGCCTCTGTTTCCAATGTTATAAAATGATGAGTAAATCTCTCTTATTATGAAGATTAGATATTTTGATACACATAAAATGTGTTAGTGTTTGACAAAGTGAATGTTCAATTAAATGAAAGCTATTATATGGGGACAGTAAGCCTGGAGTTCTCGCACTTTGAAAATTTCTGACTTTTTATTCACATATGTTTAATGCTGAAGGTGTGGAAGATTTTTTTTTTTTTTTGAGAAAAAGCATTGAAAGAGCTGAAGAGTAATAAGCTGACGTGGGGATCAGAAAGGTTGTCAGTTTCTCAAACACAGCTTTATTTTCTCCAGTAAAGTTAGTCTTGGTTAGACTATTTTTTTTTTTTTATAGAGGTATGTTTTTTTTTTTTTTATTTATTTGTTTGTTTGTTTGTTTTGTTTATACATGCACTGGGTACAGTCAGAAGCGTGGGAGGGTGAGAGAATTCACCAGAGCCAGAGCGGGAAGCAGAGCAGGCAGAAGGACCCAAGTACACTGCTGAGGGGAGCAGCTGGCGGCAGGAGAGGTCTGCGCGCGCAATGTGGGACCCTCCTCTGGTGGCCGGGGAGCAGCTGGGGATTAAACCGGAGCCCCAGAGGCCGCGGGCAGCTTCGCAACCCAGCGCTCAACCGCTGCGCCACCAGGGAGGCCCCTTGGTCAGACTATTTTTTAACTGCCTTGGGAAGATACATTTTTTAATTCTGTCACTTATAATACAAAAATGTGAATGTCACCAAACTTTTTGGTCATTATTTTACTATGCTATGGTATATTCAACATATAACACACAACTTTTTGTCAGAGATGGAGTAAATATTTATTGTAACCTCATTAACAAAGTACCATATGCCATCTACAGAGACATGAAGATAGTCTGAGTACAGAAAGATTTCTTCCTGGACTGGCATTTGTTGTGATATGGTTTTAGCTGCATATTGCATTACTGACTTTTTCAAATCACCTGAATTTTGTTTTCCATAAACCATCAATAACGATGTTTTTTTGAGACTCTCAAAAAGAATATGTGCAGTACCTTTGTAGCAGACACTTCGTCTCAATAAAATCAAAATTTCCTGATGGAATTCAGCCATCAACAGTAGGAGCTTTGTAGCAGTATGTCTTATGACTGGACTAGGAGTTGATAAAAGCTTGAAAACAACTTCATCTAAAATTGAATGCAAGGTTTTTCCTTTTATTCTGAGTAAACCACCACTAATAGAACAAAATAAAAAAAAAGTGTACCATTACTAACTGATGCATAGGTATCACAACAAGTCAAACATAAAAGTTTAGCAACTTGACACCTGACTGTGGCCTGATCCAAGAAGATAACCAAGTTTTTTTTTTTTTAAAGATTTATTTATTTATGCATACAAGAACTGGGACAGGATAACCAAGCTTTTAAACACATAGCTTGGGTTGTGAGAATACACCACTTTAAATTGGTTAATATTTACTGAATTCCTACTGTGCACAAAGCACCATGCTAAGCAAAATAGGGAAAGTAGCCAAAGGCTCCCTTCTCAGAGTAGCCAAAGGCTCCCTTCTCAGAGAAACCTGCAATAAAAATTATGGAGTTAAGATAAGTGTGCAAAATATTAAAAAAAAATCCCAAAACTTCAATGCAATAAGAGAAAAAACACAAAACGGTACATAGTTCATTGCTTAGTAATGTATGAAGACAAAACACTACAGGAAATTAACTATCATGCATTTGATATAGGAGAAACTCTCCATTATACTGAGACTCATTTTGTACTATTGATGACTTAAAAAAAATTTATATCTCAGAAATATTCAAAAGTACTGAGTGTCCTTTTTTTCTTTTTTCTTTTCTTTTTTTTAAAGATTTATTCTTTTATACAAGAACTGGGGTACAGTCAGAGGCACGGGAGGGTGAGAGAATTCACCAGAGACAGAGTGGGGAGCAGAACAGGCAGATGGACCAAAGACACTGCTGAGGGGAGCAGTGGGAGAGACAGGACAGATCTGCCGCACCATGTGGGTTTCTCCCTCTGGCCAGCCGGGAATCGAAGCCACTCTGCAGAGGCTGCAGACAGCTTCACAGCGTGGTGCTCAACCCACTGCACCACCGGGAAGGCCCTACTGAGTGTCCTTTTACTAATCTCTGTGACTTTCTAGATTCTGTGCACCTTTGTTTGACTATTTGCTGTTCATTAGAATACTTTGCAACTATATAAAAAGTTTGCTTGTAAAGAGCAAATAATGGTAATGATGCTTATGTGAGAGTAATACAAATAGGTTCTTGTTCAACAGCAATATAAATGACTTTTGTCCAGCAGGAAAACATAACCCTAAAGGTTACGATCTATAAGTTTTTTTTATCAATCAGCAAATTGATTTCTAAATTCCATGATAAATCAACTCCATCCATCATCCCTTCTTCAAATTCTCCTTTGAATTTATATAAACATCTTACTGGTTTACCAATTATTTTACAAATTAACTTTACATTTGTGTTAAGAATCATGCTTTTAAATTTTTGAAAACTATGTATCAGTAATCAAAATGATTTTAAGAGAAAAAAACAGTATTTTATCCTATATAAGGAAATCACAGGATAGAAATATTTTAAAGGTCATTCAATCAAAATACATGGCAATCTTGGTGTCACCTCTTCCTGCACCACTGTGTATCTTATGCTATTACCAATGCTTAGTATGCTCATTCCTTTCAAAATTCTGGTTAAAAACATGCTCATTTCATGTTGGCGAGGTTGTGGAGAAAAAGGAACTCTCCTGCACTGCTGGTGGGAGTGCAAACTGGTCCAACCACTATGGAGAGCTGTGTGGAGATTTCTGGACCTACTAAACACAGAGCTTCCATATGATCCAGCAATTCCACTCCTAGGTATTTACCCAAAGGACACAGAAACATCAATTCCAAAGGGCACCTGCACCCCTATGTTTATAGCAGCACTATTTACAATAGCTAAGCTATGGAAACAACCCAAATGCCCAAAAATAGATGACTGGATCAAGAAGATGTGGTACATATACACAATGGAATATTACCCAGCAATCAAAAAAGATAAACACATGCAGTTTGCAGCAACATGAATGGTGCTAGAAGGGATCATGCTCAGCGAAATTAGTCAGAAAGAAAAAGAAAAATACTGGATGGTCTCACTCATAGCAGGAATTAGGAAACTTAAGTAAGAGACCAGGAAAAAGACTAATCAATACAAAGTAAAAATCAAAATCAACAAGCAACTATAAACCAGAGACACACTTGGGGGGGAAGGGAGGGTCGGGGAAAGGAAGGACTAGAGTCAAAATAAGGGGGGGGTGCAATTGTATGGGGAATATAACTATAATGAAAATGCATACACTGTGCAAAGATTAAAAATGCTGTAAGAATTACATAAAATATTTAAAACTAAAAACAAAAACCATCCAAACAAAAAAAAAATGCTCATTTCAGAAAGCTTTTCACATATACCCCTATCTCTACCTGATCATTTCTTTACTCCACAATCCATAGAGTTTATGCTATAATACACTAGTTAAAGTGGTCTAAAATGCTCTTTAATTTCCTAATCCTAAAAAATTCTCTGTGCATCACCATCTTATCTTTCGGTTTCTTTCCTTATCCAAAATTTCCTGTCTATACTTCTTCACCTCCCATTTATTTCTGAAAGTACTGCATCTGACCTTCTGATGTACTACTTCACTAAACCTGCCCTTGATGGATTTTTATCTCATCAGTATAACTTCCAAACATTAAGTCACATATTTTCCTTGACCTTTTCTGTACTTGATATTCTCCACTTGTAGCTTCTGCAATAAAAATATTTCTGTGATCCCACTTCCTCCCAGAGATTACAACCACTCCTTGTCTCCCCTGCTTCCCTAGTATATTTCTTAAAGATTATTTCCTAAGATTTCATTTTCAGCTTATTTCCTTTCTTACTCTATTCACATTTCCTATTGAATTAATCTTCTCTCATATTTTCAGTTACCAATTGCAGACTGATGACTTATATGCCTATAATTCTTCTCCAGATTTCTTCCAAAAGTCAGCTTTACCTTCAATAGTTACCTGTTCTCCCCTCAGGTACAGTCATCAAATTTGGAAAAATTTCAATCATTATTTCTTCAAGTATTTCCTTCTGACTCTACCTCTAGGTACTATGATTATACCTATACAAAGCTTCTTGAAATAGTTCCACAGTTCACTGAGGTGTTTTCCTTTCTTTTTGGATTTCTGTACTCTTCGGATAGGCTCTACTGCTACTTTAAAATTCACGAGTCTTCTACACTATTAAATCTACTGTTAATCCTATCCAGTATATCTATCTCAAACATTGTAAGTTTTCATGTCTAGAAATTCAGTTTGAGTTTTATGTTTCTATTCAACTTTCTGTACATATGGAATATAATTATATTAACTGTCCTCATGTCCCTGTCTATAAGTTTGAATACATGTATGTCAGTTTTGATGAACATTCTTTTTATTATGAGTCCTGCTCTCCCGCTTGTTTGCACGTCTGACACTTATATAAATTATTATTAGGAGATAAATCTTATTAGGAGCTGAATAATTTTGTATTCCTCAAATATATTTTTGAGTTTTCTTCTGATAAGAGATTTTTTTCCCCAAAGATTTATTTTATTATACAAGAACTGGGGTACAGGCCAGAATTGTGGGAGGGTGAGAGGATTCACCAGAGACAGAGCAGGGAACAGAACAGGCAGACTGACGAAATACACTGCTGAGGGGAGCAGCGGGCGAGACAAGAGAGGTCTGCCACATCATGTGGGACCCTCGCTGGCTGGCTGGGATCGAACCAGCACTGCAGAGGCTGCGGACAGCCTCATAGTGCTGCGCTCAACTGCCTGTGCCACCAGGGGAGACCCTGATAAGAGATTTTTAAGTGTCATGTACAAATGATAGGCAACCGACAGTTTCAGCAAAGTCGGTATCAAAATGCTAATGCTTCTGGTATTGGAACAAGAACAGACATACAGACCAATGGAATCGAATAGAAAATCCAGAAATAAACCCACAGATTTATGGTCAACTAATCTTTGACAAAGGAGCAAGACTATGCAATGGAGCAAAGAAAGTTTGTTCAATAAATGGTGCTGGGAAAGCTAGGTTGCTACATGCAAAAGAATGAAGCTTGACCACTACCTCACACCATACACAAAAATCAACTCAAAATGGATTAAAGAACTAGACATAAGACCTGAAACCATAAAATACATAGAAGGAAATATAGGCGAAACACTACGTGATATTCACATCAAAGACATCTTTACAGACACATCACCCAAAGCAGTGATAGTGAAGGCAAAGATAAACAGCTGGGACTACATCAAATTAAAGAGTTTCTGCACAGCAAAAGAGACAATAACAAAAACAAAGAGAAACCCCACCAACTGGGAGAACATTTTTGCACACAACACTAATGATAAAGGACTGATCACAAAAATCTGCAAAGAGCTGATGAGACTCAGCAACAACAAAGAAAATAATCCGGTCAAAAAATGGGCAGAAGAGCTAAAAAGAAACTTCTCTGAAGAGGAAATGCAAATGGCCAACAGACATATGAAAAAATGTTCAACATCACTTGTAATCAGGGAAATGCAAATCAAAACTACCATGAGATACCATCTTACACCAGTGAGAATGGCACATATTAAAAAAACTAGCAACAGCAAATGTTGGCGAGGTTGTGGAGAAAAAGGAACTCTTCTACACTGTTGGTGGGAGTGCAAACTGGTCCAACCACTATGGAGAGCTGTGTGGAGATTTCTGGACCTACTAAACATAGAGCTTCCATATGATCCAGCAATTCCACTCCTAGGTATTTACCCAAAGGACACAGAAACATCAATTCCAAAGAGCACCTGCACCCCTATGTTTATAGCAGCACTGTTTACAATAGCTAAGCTTTGGAAGCAGCCCAAATGCCCAAAAATAGATGACTGGATCAAGAAGATGTGGTACATATATACCATGGAATATTACTCAGCATTCAAAAAAGATAAACACATGCAATTTGCAGCAACATGGATGGCGCTGGAAGGGATCATGCTCAGCGAAATAAGCCGAAAAGAAAAAGAAAAATACCGGATGGTCTCACTCATAGCAGGAATCTAGAAAACTTAAATAAGGGACCAGGAAAATGAATAACTATAAGAAAGTGAAAATCAAAATCAACAAAAAACTATGAACCAGAGACACTTTTTGGGGGTGGGGGGCGGGAGGGGAGGGATTGGGGTCAGAATGGGGGGGTTGCAATTGTATGGGGGAATATAAAAATAAAATTTATTATTAAAAAAAATATTTTAATAAAAAATAAATAAATAATAATTAAAAAAAACCAAAATGCTAATGCTTCTCAAAATTTAAATCAGTAACATTTTGTAAAACCAGATCACCTATGTTGGGATGTTCTGTAGCATATTTATAATTATTGGTCCTATTTGTACATTGTTACTGTGAGTAACTGCAGGAAAAGATAACGTTATAGTACTAAAGAAAGAGAAAAAAAATAAGATCAAAGGAAAGATTCTATGATGGTATAAGTGCAATTGTCTTTTTAAAGTCAAATCAAAGCCAGTGACATTTCTGCTATATTTGTATAGCCTAATAATAAAGACTTTAAGATGTAAGCAAGTTCAATAACCAGATGTAGTTAAGTTACTTAGAAATAATCTTGATCCTTTTGGGTCTTCATGATTTTCTTAGATGGTCCAGAATAGTGCTAAGTCTAATGCTAATTATTCCCCAACACTGAGGTAAACTCTTCCTCAGTATTCATAGATTTATCCAATTTGGCTGTTGGCATTAGGAAGCATTCCTGGCTCTGTGTAAACTTCTGGTATCACTTTTTTTTTTTTTTAATGTTTCTTATTTCATCTTTTTTAAAGATTTATTTTTATTTGTTTGTGAATACAAGAACTGGCATTTTTGGTTACTGAATTCCCTAACATTGGGTGGTATTTTCACAAGTGTGCTAAGTCCTTAAAGGAACCCTCTGATGATCTCTGGGATTCTAAGTGAAGCTCTCTCTTCTCCTCATGCTCTCACTTCTGAAATTCAATCTGGCTAGGGGGTACCCACCTCTGTGCCAGAGTCTGGAAATTCTCTCAATGCAATGTGTTAGGGAAATTGTTAGGTTCAACTTTTCATTTCTTTTTCTCAGGGTTCACTGTCTTTCATTAATTGACATTTAGTTTCTTGAAAACACTGTTTTACATTTTGCCTGGTGTTTGTTTATTTCAGGTAGGAGGATAAATCCATACCTATGATTCTATCATGATTACAAGTAGAAATGCAGTCCTTATGATTTTAATTCATTAGTTTAAAAAATTCATTACCCTGGTACTAGTGCCTAAAGCCAAGATTATAGTACTTCACTTGGATTAGTATGGTTGCTTACGCTACCTTCTTTATCTGAATAAGTGTCACCCTTAAAGATTTCCTCCACAGTCATAGAGTAACATTTTTGCTCAATATAAAAATATTTCAATGGTATATATTGCTTACAAGATAAGACTCAGTTTTCTTAACAGTATATAAGCTCTTCATGACTTAAGTTGCTATTGAACTTGCTAGCACCTCCCCATATCAAATTTTAAATGCCAGCAAAAATAAATTGTACCTACTTTTTATCCTCAACATACTGTTTCTTATCTCATGCTTTTGCTTATATTGTTACCTCCATCTAAAAATGCTATTTTCTTTCTTCCTTCCTGGCTAAGTTCTCATCCTTAAAGTTTTATCTCAGGTGTTAGCTTCTCCAAGAAGAATATGCCTTCAGTTTGGATTAGGAGTTCCTCTAACAGTTGTGTTTTATGTTCCTTGTAACATAAAACACTATAAAATAATTATGTCCCTATGTCAGTCTTGTCCATTATATTGTAGCTATGCTATTTGAAGACAAATTTTGTAAATCCAATGACAGACACAGACTTGGCACAATTATCTGCTTAATACATCCATATTGAAATAAGTAATCAATAATTTCAACTATGTATACTTTGCCTTTCCACTTTAATCTGAGAAAATGCCTATTACTTCTTTTATATGCTTTTATAAGCATAATACTGAACATGCAGTTTGGCTAAATAAATGTGATAAAACACATTTTATTGTGATCCCAGTATTTTTTCTTCAGATACCACAGTAATTTTCTTCCTAAGTGAGATTTGGTCTAAAATCTTAAGCTCTGAGATAAGATACCAATTTAATAATAAAGTTCAAGTCTTTTGCAGTATTTTATATTTTTTTTTCCTAAATGACAACAACAATAATAGAACCTATAAGTATCATATAGAAGTTTTATGCAATCATGATTTCAGCAAAATTGGAATAAAATTGGTGATGCTTCTGATCAAAATCAAAAAATTAGTATTACTTTGTAAAACCAAGTCACCTGTTGATCTGTAGCATATTCTGTAGCATAGTCATGACTGAAGATCCTATCTGAATATTGTCAGTTTGCAGTAAGTGCAAGAAATGATCACTTTGTAATACTAAAGGAAGAGGAAAATAAGAAAAATTAAAACAAAGATTCTACAACACAATTGGGATGTTACCTGTTCTTTCAAAACCAAATCAAAGCATGACAGTTTCTATTAAACTTTTTGCCTTGGTAAGCTTTACAACTAAGATTTTAAAATGTAGCAGTTTTAATAGCCATAAATAATAGTCATTCCATTTTGGTAACAGTGACAGAGAACACCACAAATACCAACCTAAGAATATATTGATAGCTCCCCAGCTATTAATATAAGTTTTATGCAATCATGATTTCAGCAAAATTGGAATAAAATTGGTGATGCTTTAGATCAAAATTAAAAAATTAATATTATTTTGTAAAACCAAGTCACCTGTTGATCTGTAGCATATTCTGTAGCTAAGTTATGACTGTAGATCCTATGGGAATATTGAAAACAAAATATAAAATTCTAAATTTGTATCTTTTTCTAGCAATCTATTTCAATGAATAAAATCAAATTTATGGTGAAGAAGAGGGCATGAAGGAATGAAAAATGATATAGATGAGTGCATTTTTACATAATGTTTTTAAATATCTTTTAAAAATAATAATTAAATCATTAATTTCAAAATACTTTTACTTTTATTGGTTTGTAAGTTTTAGATTTTGAGCAGCCAGTTATGAAGACTTGACAGTAGATGTTGATGTAAGTGGCGAAACTGCAGAACATCTATTTCTTCATCTGTAAAATGAGAAATAGTAGCCCTCTACAGGCTACTGTACAATGTTCAAAAACAGACTAATTCTCAGTGAATATCAGTTTCTGTTCCTTTCTCTATTAACTGATCATAGTTTTAATTAAAGTAGGATCAGGTATGCTGGCAAATCAGTTCTGTGAACACTACACTAACTTCTACAAAACATCTTTACTCTTTCCATCTCCTGGAGAAAATACTTGATTTCTTTCTTAATGATTGTCTTTCATTTCTATTACAAAGTCCAATATTTTAATATTTCACTAGAAAAGCAATTTAAAAAGTTAATAATTTCAAGAAACAATTCTACTACTGTTAATTATTTTTATGAGTTTTCACTTTTCATTACTTCACCATTAAAAAAATTTTTGGTAGCTGGGATATTCTATTTTTGTCTACTTAAAAATATTTTATTCATTCATTCATTCATTCATTCATTCATTCATTCATTCATACAAGCACTGGGTACAGTAAGAAGCGCAGGAGGGTGAGAGAATTCACCAGAGCCAGAGCAGGGAACAGAACAGGCAGACTGAGGAAGTACACTGCTGAGGGGAGCAGTGGGCGGCAGGAGAGGTCTGTGTGCCATGTGGGACCCTCGCCCGGCGGCTGGGGATTGAACCGGCGCCGCAGAGGCTGCAGGTCACAGCCCAGCATTCAACCACTGCACCACCAGGGAGGCCCTAAAAATATTTTATTAATAACTATTTCTAACTTTGAATTAACTAAAATCATCACTGCATACTATGTACATAAATTTGCATTTTTCTATATTGGGAAAAATTATACAAAATAATTTATCAAATATTCTATTTTATTTTTTATACTTTTTTTAAATTTTTTTTTTTTAATAGAGGCATGTTTTTATTTATTTATTTGTTTGTTTGTTTTTGTTTATACATGCACTGGGTACAGTCAGAAGCACAGGAGGGTGAGAGAATTCACCAGAGCCAGAGCGGGAAGCAGAGCAGGCAGAAGGACCGAAGTACACTGCTGAGGGGAGCAGCGGGCGGCAGGAGAGGTCTGCGCACCATCCGGGACCCTCCTCCAGTGGCCGGGGAGCAGCCGGGGATCGAACTGGCGCCGCAGAGGCCGCAGGCAGCTTCGCAACCCAGCGCTCAACCGCTGCGCCACCGGGGAGGCCCTATTTTTTATACTGTTTTATAAAACATTATCATATAACTTATTTGCAGAATCCCTACTGTTTTTCTTTTTCTTTTTTTTAAAGATTTATTTATTTATGCATACAAGAACTAGGGTACAGGTCAAAGGTGTGGGGGGTGAGAGGATTCACCAGAGACAGAGTGGGGAACAAAACAGGCAGATTGACTGCAATATACTGCTGAAGAAAGCAGCAGGCGAGTCAGGAGAGGTCTGCTGTGCTATGTGGGTAGTTCCCTGGCCAGGGATAGAGTTGTGCTGGTGGCTGTGGATAGCTTCACAGGTTGTGTCTTAACCCCTTGTGCCACCAGGGAGGCCCCCTATTCTGTTTTTCAAGTGCATTCAGATAACTACTTGGTTTCCCCAAGTAAAACGTGATTTTTTTTACCCACTTATTTAAACTTTTTCTGAGAGTTTCAAAAATACACAAGAGTAGATAGAATACTACAATCAATCTCCATGTTACCAGTTACTCGACTTTAACAAAGACCAACTCAAGGCCAATCTTGTTTCACTTAACTATCCACTTCCTGCCTCCCATTTTATTTTGAAGCAAACAAAAGACATCAAATAATTTAATCTACAAATATCCTAATATATTTCTAAAAGATATGATTTGTTAAAAAATATGAACATAATAATATTCAACCTAAATAATGGCAATTTAATTTTAATGAATCTCGTCAATGCTCCAATTTCCAATTCTCTTGTGAATTTTTAAAAGTTTGAATCAAGATCCAAGTAAGATCCAAGTAATCTCCATGCATTGTAATTGTTTATCTTTCAAATTTCCTCTTATCTATGGATTCCTCATCTACCTTTCCCCCCTTTTCCCTGCTATTTATGTTTGTTGTGTCAATTATCTTGAGTTTTCTATACCCTAGTTTTACTAACTGCATGTCTGGGATAAAATTTACTAACTGCATGTCTCTCTGTCCTTCTATAATTTAATTGAAGGTAAAGGAATAAAATAACTCAGGTTTGAATTTTTTGCACTTAATAAGTGATATCTGGTTGTCTTTCCTTTTGCTATGTTGACAGCAATGGATGACTAATTCTTAAATCTTTTAATTCACTAAGGTTGCAAAATGGCTTTATCTTATCTTTTCCACTTATTCATTGGAATACTTTCATAAGGAGAAATTTCTTCTTTCAATATGTAAGAAGAACCAGGATAAACCCTGGATACTGCATTTACCAGTTTTCAAAATGAATTTGTTCCTTAACAGTCTCTAAGAGTAATATTTAAAATAGTTGATGATAACATTTGATGTGTTTCAAACCATTATAGTTATTATCCTTACTACTGTTCAAATTTTCCATCTTTGGCTAGTAGAAGCCTCCTATGTTGGCTCTTGAATCCTTTTCACAGAATCCTAATAGAATTTGAGTGCTTCCTTTCTATTCGGCATTCAAGAAACTTCAGGTTTGTCTCATCTGTTTTCTACTCCAGACCTAAAATCAGTTATTTCTCCATGGAGTTTATTTTTTTAAGAGGGAAAAGTTGTTGGAAACCTCAATATTGTATTCATTAATTTTTGCATATGAATTTCACACCTAGTTTTAGTAACTACTGATATTTTAAATCTACAGATTAAATCAAGGAGCATTATCATTTTTGTTATAAATGAACTTTTAAAAAGGAACATTTAAAAAATTTTTTAAAAGAAGTATGGCATATTTAAAAAACAATACGTATTCTATCTTGCTTTCTTTTCACTATTTATAAGTATTATACTTAAATATTACAAAAGGGTAGAAACATCGTTAAGATTAAGGACTACTTTCTCAGACTTAAGAAAACATAATTGAAACCAACATACTTATATTTCTAAAAGTAAATGTAGAAACATCTTATAATTTTCAGTAACTTTCAAGTTCAGTAAGGTATTCTGTAAAAGCTTGTAATTCATGTATGAAGTTACTCCAAACAGAAATTTCTCTCACAGTATGTCTAAAATACAACTATAATCTTTGAAACTTAAAAAAATTTCTTTCTCTAAACTGTAAAGTTTTTCATTAATCTTTATCTTGGATTTGCTAAATAGTACAATGTAAGGAGAAAGTCAGTTTTTTCCCCTTAATGGTGGTTATATAAAGTCAGAACGTCCAATTTTTGTGGGGAGTTACTTCAATATGATTTTATTTAACTATGGTAATCTGGACAGGTAATGAGGTAGATATTTTTAAAAAGTAAGATGAAACTGTTAGTAGATAATTCTATAATGACTATCAGTTAAATTTAAGATCTTTATTCTTACCATTTTGGATGAGCTGAACATGACCTCCCAAAAGCCAGAAGAGAGAATCAGCCACAATTTGGAAGAAGTGTAGTAATTCATCTTTTTCTTCACCCTTAACATGCACATAAAAACCCAATTTACTTTCTTGCAACTGCTTTATTAAAAAGAGAAACTTTTCTCTGAGGAATCAGAGGATCTGGGTACATGATCTTGTAGTTTTCAGTTTTTTAGTTTATAAAACTTACCAGTACAACTAGTAATACCTATTCTATCCACTGGAAGTGGTTGTTATCCAGCAGTCAAATGAGATAAGAAAGAAGCTGCAAGTTAATACAGGAGAATTTCTCAGAGCTGGCTATGCTTTCATTACTGTGAAGTTTTTCACATAAACCTATGCACAAGCTTTAGTCCAAACACACTGAATCTCAATCGCCATAATCAGAGAAGCCTGGACATCTGTAATTTAACAGTTAGGTGGGTGATTTGGTTATGCAATCAGGGTAGAAAATCACTGCAATATACTAATAGAGATGTCAGCATATAAGCCATTATGATTAATGCATTTCAGTTGCAGCTACTACTTTTAAGATTTCATGAGAGCAGAAACCATGTCACTTAGCTCCCCACTTAATTCTCAGTGTCTAAAACGATTCTGCTAGTTAATGTTCAATCAACTTTACTCAATAAATGACAATTTTTCTGGCTCTTCCTTTCTGAAAATTAATTTTTTAAAAAACATATTAAAAGGAGGGTTTATTAGGAAAAAGAGAAAGGTGGGCAGAGAGCTATTAATACTTTGAAAGGAAAAGGCTTGTGAAAGGACACCATAAAGGCAGGCAGTCTTGGGAGGAGAGCTGCCAAAATTATTCCATATTAAAGTATGTACAGAATGGGAAATAAAAAAGATGATTCCATCTAAAACTCTGTCATTTTCTGGCCATTTAACTTTGCAGAAAGTTGTATATAGGTCCCTAATCTTATCCATGTTTTCAATGGTTGCACTGCAGCACAAAAATTACAACAGAAGCAAAAAATGGAATATTCTTCACAATAATGAACATTTTCTTATTCTAGCATTGGGTTAGGAAATGCTTAAATAAACATGTGCTAACTTAAATAAAAACAATAAAAAAGAAATGTCACATTAGATTAAAAATTCCTTTAATGCAGTAAAGTGTCTTTGCCAATTTTACCAAAAGACACAGTAGAAAGCTGTGGTCAATCTAAAAGGACAGGGCTGGACTCCCCCACTTTCTACTTTCCTTTAAAATTCCATTAGATAATATTACCCAAGATTTTTTTGCATTCTGTTACTGGTTAACAAAATTTACTTTTGTATCATTAAAAAAATATTGAATAGGTGGCTTTTCTGATACTGCCCCTCCATTCTCTCTCTATCTTCTAACCAATTTAGGCCAGAAAATCATGCATATATTCCACCTAGTGATCTACCTATGCACTAACAAATTAAAGAAAAAATCCGATTGGGAAGCTCCTATATAAACGGTAGAAATAAATTCCTTTTTCTTGCCATATCCATTTCTTCCCCCATTTTGATTTTATCCTGTGGTTAAGTGATCCTTCTTTTTCTACAGCTTATTTATTCTCTTGGATGTGTAATAAAGAATTTTTTACCTCAATACTAAAGTAAAAAATAAATACAGCAATAAAGGAAAAGTATTATGAAAAGTGTTAAAGACTATGTAAGTTAAAAGAATATAATTATTTTCATCCTTAGAGTGGCAATATTAAATAAAAGTGCTTTAAAGAAAACAAAGTTTCATAATGGTCTGGGCTATTCATGACAGAAATAATTTTACAAAGGAGGAAACTGAGGTACAGTGAAACAAGTGATTTGTGTAAAATTCAGTTTGACAAAGACAGAAAAAGAAACCAACAGAATTCTCCATATTTCATGGTGCTTTAAAGGACCTGAATTAAATATGAAATTATTTATTTAGTGCCAGCATCCCTCAAAACACCAACGGAGATGCCAAAATGGAACTTAATGACTTACTATATAGAAAGCATATGTTCTATCACTAAGTGAAATTCTCTGCCAATATTACTTTCTATACTCAGACCACTATGTTGATTACATAGATGTATGTCTTGTTCAATTTCACTCATACATTTTTTTGGTTTTTTTTTTTTAATTAAAAATATATCTTAGGTTAACTTAATAAAAAAATTACAATAAAAAATTATAATACATATCTAAAGATCTTGTCTTATTTTACTCCTGGGTTAATGTACACTCAAATAATCTCAAATGGAACTTAACATTCCATGGAGACTTAGTTGCTTATCTTCATAATTCACAAAATTTATGAATCTGCTCAATCTCTGTTGTAGCAGTAGCCCCAAATACATATTTATACAGCCAAGAACGCTTCCAAGGTAAAGGAGTGTCAATCTTACAGACTTAACCACTCCTTACAAATTCTATAGCCAAATCAATTTAATTAACACTGTATGATACAACTGCAGAGTTCACATTCAAGTATACAGTTAGTCCTTGTTTTTGCATAATGCCATGTTAAATGAAACTTGTGCATTTCAAATCCTTTGCATGGTTCTGGTATGCATGCATTCTCATCAGTTAAGATGGCACAGTTCTAAGCAAGGACTGTTTACGGTAGAACATTTGCCAGGATAAAGCATATGGAAGACCATAAAACAAGTTTGAAAATATTTCAAAAGAGTAAATTGATGGAGTATGTTATCTAATCATAAAGAATTAAATTAAAAATTGGTAATAAAGGGCCTCCCCTGGTGGCGCAGCAGTTGAGCGCTGGGTTGCAAAGCTGCCCGCAGCCTCTGCAGCGCCGGTTCGATACCCAGTCACCAGCGAGGGTCCCACATGGCGCAACAGACCTCTCCTGCCGCCTGCTGCTCCCCTCAGCAGTGTATTTCATTACTTTGCCTGTTCTATTCCCCACTCTGGCTCTGGTGAATTCTCTCACCCTCCCGCGTTTCTGACTGTACCCAGTGCTTGTATAAATAAATAAATAAATCTTTCAAAAAAAAAAACTTGTTAAAATTAAAAAAAAAATGATAATAAAGCATAAAAAATGCACAAATATATGGAAATGAAACAACACACTTCTCTACAGCCCAAGGCTTTAAAATTTAAAACATCACATATAGCACCTAGCACAATTCACCCAAGAAATACTTGTTGGACTGAAACAATCCTATGTTTCAGTTGAAATATTTAGAGAAGATATGAAAGATCAAACAGAAAATTCACCTTTATTCTTTTCCCCCTATTGAGAAAAGCCTTAGGACTGGAAAACAATATTTTCCTGTATTGGCAATTTAAGTAGAAGGCATATTTTAGGAAGATGTTATGGAAATATAGTTAAATGTGCTGTTTGAGTTAGTAAGGTAGATCTTTCAAAGAGTCATACAATATGCTTCAGTCAGCACTTTATAATTTTCAAATGTAGAAACTTTTTTTTGTTATAATTTAAAAAATATTAAATCCACTTCTAATTGTACTTTTAGCCCAACATTACACATCTGAAAAATAATTTGGAGTATCTAAAATATTTTGGAATTAAATTGTTTTGGCTACAAATCACTATATAGACATATACCTTAGCTGCATTGATGAAACATGTCTGCAATCGCCTGCCCAACACCAGAAAATTCTCAGCTGCTGATGGAAGTAATTCATTGTAAAATTCTTCTGCATCTTCTCCAGGCTCAAGGCCCACACAGCAATGGCTAAAATAAGAGGACAAATTTGTGATTAGTTATGTTTATTTTTTTTAAAGAAGTTACTATTTATTTATTTATTTTTAGAGATTTATTTATTTATACAAGCACTGGGTACAGTCAGAAGTGCGGGAGGGTGAGTGAATTCACCAGAGTCAGAGGGGAGAACAGAGCAGGCAGACTGACGAAGTACACGGTTGAGATGAGCAGCGGGTGGCAGGAGAGGTCTGCGTGCCATGTGGGACCCTCGCCTGGCAGCCGGGGATCGAACCGGCGCTGTAGAGGCCGCAGGCAGCTTCACAACCCAGCGCTCAACTGCTGCGCCACCGGGGAGGCCCTGATTAGTTATGTTTATTATAAATTTTAGCTGATGCTAAAACTTCTATAGACACTGTCTTAATGAGAACTTTTAGTATCCTTTGTGGCCAAATCAATAAAGAGCTTTTGCTGGAAAATTAATCTAACAACTTTCTAAAAAAGTAAACAGTGGTATCGACTTTGTATCATCCTCAGAGCAGGACTCATATATCCATAAACCTACTTGTTAATCATACTGGAAAGAAAAGATATTTGATTCAAAATAAAGAGAAATATGGCAAGCTTTTAGTGAAAGAGTCAAACACTCCAAAAGCAAAAGGATATCTTAAGAGTCTTAATTGATGAATAACATTTAGTTAACTGGTATATTTTAGATATCTCATAACTGAAAAATACACAGGGAAGGATTAGTCTGCAAGGAACAAACTAGAAATCATACACTCTAATTTTATACCAGTTCTACTTGTATAAATCTGCAAAACATCTGACCGCATATTCCTTATTATTAGAAGGCAAAACAGCAAAAACCTAACTCTAGTTAGTTCTATAGGAACACTACAATACACATTAAAAGAAAGTCATCTTAAAAAATGGGTCTTCTTGAAATTGCACGTGAGTCTCTTCTGGAAGTAAAATAATCACATTCAAAATCATACACTCTAATTTTATACCAGTTCTACTTGTATAAATCTGCAAAATATCTGACCATGTATTCCTTATTATTAGAAGGTAAAACAAAAAAAACCTAATACTAGTCAGTTCTAGTAGGAACACTTTATAATACACATTAAAAGAAAGTTATCTTAAAAAATGGGTCTTTTTGAAACTGCATGTGAGTCTCCCCCTGGAAGTAAAATAAGCACACTCAAAAATCTCAATAATAAAAAATATTTGCGTAGAACAATTCCAGAATGAATCACAAATCCAAGTAAGGTCTCTATGTGTATATTCTAATGATTAAGAAGCTATTAGAGGCTTGTCAACAAAACATGCAGTAGTGATGATACATTACGTATGCTAAAAACCCAAAAGGCTAATGTTTAATGCTTTGTGGGTTTTTTTTTTTCAGACTGATTCCTAAAGTTAAGGTACTAATGCTCACATACATCAGTTTTTTTTCTCTCTGGTTCCTAAAGTCAATCATTTAAGAGTACCAATTTTGATTGAGGACATTAATGAAATTATGTTTACTCTATATTCACAAACATGGGATTTCTTAAAACCTGGATTTCACTCCAGAGAGCCTACTTCAATTAATTTTTCATGAGTTAACATATCTAATTAAAACAAAGGCAAAATGCCTGATTTACATTAGGTTAAAAAATATATATAAAAAATAAAAAAGTATATATATATATATATATATATATATAAAAAGAGTATTATGTGCATTTGTTAATTGATTTTGTAAATGTATACCTGAAATTTAACCTTTATCTAGGAACAAATAAGGTATAAGCAGTTGCAAAAGCTAATATCCAATAAGTAATACACTTTCAATTACTTAACTAGGAAGTGGCTTAGGCACTAAGAACAATCAGTTTATTTTACTGCCTTCTTTAAAAAAAAATTTTGATCTCTTTTCTGTTAATTTTGAGCATGGCAGTAGATTAGTCAATATCGTTTTTAAATCTTACTGACAGGATTTGGATTATTTAGTGAAAAGAAAAACAGTTAAAAGCTAAATCAATCCTGGAAACAGTTTCTGTATCTCTTCTACAATATTTTGCTTATGCTTTTCATTTCAGCACCTGTTTCATTCTGCCTTGGAGGATGAATTCACATGACTGCAAACTATCTCTTTGTAAGTTTCTCCAGTACAGAGTCAATGCCTTAGCTTCTTCAATACCCCATGGTCAATAAAGAATCTACTAGACACTTAAGATTCAGTTGTGAGCAAAAGACTTCATTACCATCTTCATAGGATTTATGAAGGGAACTTTTAGACAGACATTCACAAATATATAAACAGTAATAGTATGAAGGAAGAGCACAACCAAAACCTGCCACAGGAGGTTGTCAACGCCTGTTAAATACAAGATTAAGCAGTCGTATATGCTGAAAATAAAAATCTACCATTACATTCCTCAAGAACAAGCTGACTTATTGCTTCATTTTACCTTAGTATCTGTGTAAGCTGAGATACTGTAGTCCAACCACCCTGGATTCGAGAACAATCTTGACTGAGGACCAAGAGGCAATATCGAATGAGGTCATAACAATATATATCCTGTTTGATTTTCTTCAACTCTGAACTTCCTAAAGGTGTGTTGTGTATTATTTCTGAGGCAAAAGGAAGTAAGATATATTTATTTTTGTAAATATAAGACTTAATTGTATTTTTTAGGTTGAATATTAATGTTATATTAAGGGAGGAAAAAAAAACACTGCTTTATCACAATGTTAAGATTTCTCTGAACAAATGAGGAAAAAACACTGTAACTGTGCCTATGATGGCATTCTTTTGTGAAACAGTATTAGCCAAGCACAAAAAGATTTTACCTTTTAACTTCAACAGTATAACAGGGACATTCTGTTCAGGACTTTTTGCAACTTCAGCAGCTAGAGATAAGATCCTTGGGTCTGTACCTTTTGGCTTCATTTTATCTATCACCTATATTTGAGGAGAATCAGAGAAATAAAGGTCAAACAGCCCTGAAATGTTCAGTTTAAATTGAGATGTAGTTTCAATATAAATGAAAATTTAGCTTTGCTTGCTTTATTTGAAAAGGGTAGGGTTTATTTTTAACTTCTCTTTTTTTTTTTAACTTCTTTCCCATAGGAAACTCTCTAAGAGCACACAAAACCACTGTAACTTAAAATATAGCTACATAGTATTATCATGCACTCACTATGAGTGAGGAATTGTGCTAAGTGCTTCATATTTACTCTCTAATCTACAAAACAATCTCAGAATAGGAGTTAATTTTCTTTAATCATAGAAGACTGCAAACAAAAAAAGAGCTAATATGGGCCTGAGACTATTCTTTCAAGTTTATTTCTTAGCTGGTGTCTAGGAACTTGGACGTCAAGATTTCTACCATTCCTTAATAAAAGTGGCTCAATGTCCCTAAATTGTAAAAGGAATGTGGTTTATGTTAAATGCTTGTTTTCCTTCTAGGATCTGGAATAGTGGTATACGGTATATGGTAGCAGAGAATGATTATATGGCTATCCTCCAATATAGACTGGTCAGTGAGTCTCTTGTGAGCTTTCCTGAAAGAAAAACATCAACGTGTCATAATTCATTCCTGCATTTCCTGTGTGACTCCACTGGGCGAAATTTTCCTCTGGACTTCACTGCATGTACCTTTTCGCTTTGTTGATTTTGCTTTGTATCCTTTCACTATAATAAATTACAGCCATGAATATGATTATATCCTGAGAACTGTGAGCCCTCTTAGCAAATCATTTAACCTGGGGCTGGTCCTGGGAGTCCTAGATGCACAACTCAGAAATTTTATGTGATTATAACATAACCAAAGCTCGTGAATAAGATCAACTACCTTAGAATTTAAAAAATCCACATCTCAAGTCAATTTGTTGCTAAAACTCTTCTTTATAAAAAAGTTTTAAGGTTGTTGAGCACTCCAAACTAAACAGTATCATTTAATCAAAATGTATAATCTTTACTTATAATAAATATATATTAAGTATCTGCTATGAACTAAGAACTGTGCTAAATATTTCTACACACAGCATCCTACTTAACCCTCACAAAGGAACTAAGAGGTGTAACTTGTAATCATTCCATTTTACAAATAAGAAAAACAGAGATCGAAGAAATTAAAAGTTCTCATGGTTCCAACAATATGTGGTGGTGGAGTGGTATTTAAGTTCAGATCATTTTGACTCTAAAGTCTATGATTTTAGTTACAATGTTCATTATCTTCTCTCCTATATAAAATAGTAAACACAAATTATATTTCCAAGTGACCTACTTAGCTAGCCACAGCACAGACATCCAAAAGTTATCCCTCATTACGTAAAATATAAATCATTAGGAAACAAGTTTTCTGAAAACACTTTAAAGAAAGCCTGCACAAAGTTGTAGGTATACAATTTCCCAAGAAAGTGGATGTAATTATTTGATTCTTTCTAATGGCTGCACTATGTTTGCTTCTTTTGCAAGAGCACATGAAAATATATTTAAACATTCTCTATTGGAGATCATTCAGAATGCATGGTATGCCAACCAACACTGATGTATCAATCTTTATCTTTCATATTGGCTGGGAACATTTTCTCCTATATTTATTTTCTTAAGTTTGGTTATGGTATTCTTACCAGTTTTACATAGTAGTCAAGTATATTAATCCTTCTCTGAATTGTTTCTGCCTTTTGCGTCATGCTTAGAAAGGCACTCCCTATCCCAAGAGCTAAAATATATTCTTTTGTTTGTTTGTTCTTTTATTTCTTTTATTTTATACATTTTTTACATCATTTTTCACTTTTGCACAATGTATGCATTTTCATCTTGGTCATAGTCTCCATACAATTCCCACCCCCCTTATTCTGATCCTCCCCCCTACCCCAGTGTGTCTCTGGTTTATAGTTGCTTGTTGATTTTTAATTTATTATAAAGCCCAAAAATAGATGACTGGATCAACATGTGGTACATATACACAATGGAATATTACTCAGCAATCAAAAAAGATAAACTCATGCAATTTGTAGCAACATGGATGGAGCTGTAAGGGATCATGCTCAGCCAAATAAACCAGAAAGAAAAAGAAAAATACCCGATAGTCTCACTTATAGCAGGAATTTAGAAAACCTAAATAAGGGACCAGGAAAAAAACTAATTATAATAAAGTTAAAATCAAGAGCTAAAATATATTCTTCTCAAAATTTTCTAGTATTTTTATGGTTTTGTTTTTAGTTATACCTTGAATTACTTTTCTAGATCTTCAATATATATGTGAGTTATTTTTGTGAATAGTTTATGACTGGAATGTAAATTTTTCAAGGAAGATGAGGCTGTAGATTGGTGAAAAAAGAACAAGTGCAGGTAGCTGTTATCCAAAATGTAAGTAATCTGTAATGTAATTTCAAATGCTACTTATGTATATTTTAGGACTCCATTTAATTTATTAATTTATTTTTACTGGACATAGCTCATGTTAACATACCTTTGGAGAAAATTTGCACTACAAGGTAAGCTTTACAAGGGCAAAACCATACCATTCTTGGTGGCTGCTGCCTTTTCTTTCTGGGTAAGATATATTCCTGAAGGCCAGCCTAGAGTTTAGCATGTGACATGTGCTTAAATATAAGTTGAAGGAATGAATAAGTGCATGAATCTTGAGCATTCTAAAACTCAGTTCCTAGATTCTCTGTTTTCCTATTCATTCCAATATTTGGATTTCCGGTTGGAAGATTTTTAAAACAAACTTAAAACACTGTTCTGACTCTCTGGCTACCTTAATAAAACATCACTGAAACATGAACTCATCAGCTAACATGTGTGGGGAACTATGGTAGATGTAAAGCTCACAAAGATTTTATGTAGGACAGAGTCCCTGCTCTTGTTCTAGTAGGGAATGAAAATTACACAAACACACACTTATATATATATACACACATAAAATTAAATTATGTAAAATACATCAAATGCCAAATAGATAACAAATGATAAAATACAGACCACAGAGTCAAAGGAATGGCTTCCCTAAATCAGTTTTTTTTATATTCAGCAGTAGACAAGAGTAGACAAATAACTCGAGATTGAGAAGAGAAGGCAGCCACCCAGAATGGTCCTAAAATGCGATACGATGGTATTGAAAGAATTAAGCCTTAATAACCATTGGAGAGCTTTTATTATGTGCCATTAATTGTTCTAAATGCCTTCAGGTATTAGTTCATTAAACTCAACAAGTCTAAGGCATACATAAGTACTACTATTTCTTCCCCATTTCCATCAATAAGCATACCTAACTTCGGTTTGTACAAAATCACATTGGAAAACATAAAGTTGGGGTTCAAACGCAAACTTAAATGATTCTGGCTCCAGAACCTGAGCACTTAAGTTAATACAAACAAAAGTGTCAGAAGGCCTTGAAAGAGTAGAATTTAGACAAACATAAGCTGCGGGAAGACATTCATCTACCTGCTTGAACTGACAAATTCGACTAAGGTAAGTCAGAGTAAGTCAGGGAGCAGTGTGATTACAGAATTACTCTAAAAAGCAACCACCTGTTAAGGGTACTCATTTGTCAACTTTCTCGTGGGTGTTTCTCCACTCATAAAACACTTCTTTCATTTTTACCATTAAACTCATGAATTCTTAACCAAAAAATATTTATTATTTAAAAATTATTAATGTTATTACCCTACTAAAGAGTACGAGTTCCAGCCTTGAGCCTTTGGCACTCTAGTCTTCCCGGCCGTTCCGTTTACCGCCGCCACGGGTCACTACGATGGAAATAAATAAAAGAAGGCAACCTAATGCAACGCAGTTCCAACTGACCCTAAATAGCTGCAGTTCCGAAGTCTGAATCTCTCCCCCATTCCCCACTCCCTCTCCCCTGTTCCGCAGTCTCTCCGTCTTTTTTTTTTAAAAGGTTTATTTATTTCTACAAGAACTGGGGTACAGTCAGAGGCGCGGGAGGGTGAGAGGACTCACCAGAGACAGAGTGGGGAACAGAACAGGCAGACTGACAAAATACACTGCTGAGGGGAGCAGCGGGCAAGGCAGGAGGGGTCTGCTGCGCCATGTGGGATTCTCCTTGGCCGGCTGGGAACCGAACCCGCGCTGCAGAGGCTGGGGACAGCTTCACAGTGCGGCGCTCAACCCGCTGCGCCACCGGGGAGCCCCAGTCTCTCGGTCTTAATACCGCCGGGAACGTCCCTAGATACTTCAGGTCAGAAAACGACTGCCAAGGTAACGGCGGTGCCTCCGGTCAGGGCCAAGGACCCAGCCTCTGAGGCCGCGCACTCCCTTGACTCCTCACGCTGGACCCGAGTTTGGCGCCGCCAGGCCTAGCGCAAGAAACTAGGCCGCGTGCCCGGCCTCCGCCCCGCCCCGCCCCGCCCCGCCGGGCCTCAGTTTCCACACCAAATCTCCACAGAAAGGACGTGGAGCAGGCCGCGTCTCCCATTAAGAGCACCGAGGTGCCGGGTGACTCGGCCCAGCGACCTGGGCCCTGCGTCCTCTCCTTCCGCCGCCACCTCAGGTCCGTTACCTCATCCTCGCCCGGCGTTCCTCCACCAAAAGACCCCGCTCCGGCCACGCACCTCAGTGCGCCGCCTTCCCGGGGCTGCGTGCGTCGCAACGTGGGAAGCGCTCTGGAGGCGGGACCAAGTTCCTTGGAGCCAGGGGGCGGGGCGCCCCTCGCAGGTAACCAATCAGCACGCGAGGGGGCGGAGTCCGTAGTGGCTGCTCCCGCGGCTGCAAATGCAGCTGCTTGGGGCTGAGGTGGCAGATGGTCGTGAGCGTCCGTGACCCAGGCAAAGCGGGAGCCCGAGGATAAAGATGAATGGAGCAGTGGGACCCTGGCACATTGACAGTCGCGAGCGGGTTCTTAAATTAGGAGATAGCTTCGAGAAGAAGCCGCGCTGCGCCTTCCACACTGTGCGCTGTAAGTGAGGACGACTCGGGGGGAAATGCGGACACTGGGTTTAGAGGTGTGGATGGGACAGCCCTCTCTGAGCTGTGTCCCCCAGTCTCCTTTACTTTGCTGGAGAATGGGGCGCCCAGCTGTGTTCCCCCAGTCTCCTTTACTTTGCTGGAGAATGGAGCGCCCAGCTGTGTTCCCCCAGTCTCCTTTACTTTGCTGGAGAATGGGGCGCCCAGCTGTGTCCCCCAGTTCACCTTTGCTTTGCTGGAGAATGGGGCGCAGCTGTGTCCCCCAGTCTCCTTTACTTTGCTGGAGAATGGGGTACCCGCTGTCCTGTTTGAGGTCCTAGGGCATTGTTGGGAGAAGGCGGAGTTAAGCAGGTTTGAATTAATCTGGGCAGAGATACTTGAATGACGCCAATAGACAGAAAGGGAAACTTTGTGAAATAGGTCCTTTGGGGTGATTGTGGAGACAGATGTGACTGGTGTTTGGTACAGAGGTGGAAAGGAAAATAATAAGGTGACAAAAGGAAGGGAGCAAAGACAGGACAGTTACGCAAAGAAGAAAAAACCTTGAGGCTGATGGAGAAATATACTCTTATTTTGTCCTTGATGATGAGCATTCTTTAGTGTGTTCCGTGGGAGAGATTCTAAACTATTCCAATGATCTGTGTCACTTTGAACCCCTAATTTAATTGCATCAATAATCAAATACTGATTAACAAAGTATTAGTGTTTTCAGTTTCTTTATTAGAAAGATAGTTACCTCCCTGTGATTTCTCCATTTGGTTGTCCTCTGGAACTTGTTTTGATAAATTACTCGCTTTTGTGTTGTTGAGGTGGAAAAGGAAGCTTTTCTGCTTTAATTAATTGGATGATGTAGAGCCAGGAAGGAAAATATAGCATATTATGATTTGTATGTAAATAATTCATTTTTTTGCATGGTAGCCCCGGGAGAATGATAGAGCGGAAAGGAAACTTTGAGACCGTTAAATCATAACCTCTTATTTTCCTGTGGCAAAATTGTAAAGTAGGTATTTTTTCACTTCCTTTCCTTAGCCCTGTCCTTTCTTAGTGTCTAATCATACACATTTCTCAGTCATTCTGTCCTTTAACTGTCCAGAGAATTTACAGTTTTACTCTGAAGTGTTCCATGCTTCAATCAAAATGTCAAATTAAAATTTACATTCTCCAAAAACTTAAGTTGTAGACAATCTAAATATAGTAACTCACAGGAAAAGTATTAAGTTTAACACTCCGAATATATTTACATTTTATAAAAGGATTTTAATAAGCAAAGTTAACATCCAATTGGTAGAATAAATGGGGGAGATATTTATAAACAGATCTTTAAAAGTGTCCCTTGTTTATTCTTCTTTTCCATGCTCTGTGTTCAATTCTTCCTACAGTGAGGTAGTTCGTATTAACTGTACAGTTTCTTTCCTACTTCAGTCCTATTTTCCAAAAGTATGATATAGTTCTTATTTGATTTTTCCATGTCTTTCTGTCAAATATTATCTTCTGTCTTCTTCCTCTTCTTTGTTAAGCACGCAGTAGTCTTAGTATTAATTTTTCAAATTACAGGGTGTAAGATTATAAAAATTTGCTCATGAAAATTTAAAATAACTTGGACATATATTTTATTTTTAAGGACATGAACCCCAAATTAAAAGAATAAAAAATGGCCTTTGAAATGTATTTTGTTGGTGCTTCAAGGCCTTTCATTTATAAAATTTCTCAAAATGTTGGAATTATGTCCTCAATCAGATGATCCAGCTACAATGAACATAACCTGAACAACAATAACAAGAACTTTACTCAACACTGTTAGGCTTGTGGCAGGCATCAGAAAGGTTTACGGACCTTATTTTTATTCTTGTTGTTGAAGCAGGCATAGTCTTTTTAGATTGATTCAAATAAACCAGTCATTATCCTTGAGGATAAATGTATTTCCCATATAATGCTCATTCTTAAGGAATCAAGAGCAGGGAATGGAAACTATAAAATAGGAGATTTGACTTCCACCCAGGGCAGGTGAACATGATTTATAACAAAGTCAATGTAACCTGGAAGAAAATAATATTTTTATATGCAGACATAATTATGAGAATCTAGTATATTCTGGCTTCCACCACCTTTGTAACATAATACAACTTTGAGAACATTATCTAAGCTCTCAGTCTCAATTTTTTATATGAAAAATGGTGGTAATGATGTCTACATTTCAGAATTTTTAAAGATTAAATAAGAGCATTAACAACCTAACACAAGTATTTAGTGAATGATAGAGAATAAACAATAGTCACCATTCTTCATGATTATATTCATGTACATATTAGTGTCTGTATATACTTTACTTGGATTTTCAAGATGCATTTATCAGGGCTTAGCAATAAAACATATAAAAAAAGATAGTCTGACATATGGTAGGGAAGACACTGGATGTTCTATAAATGATAAGCTAAATAGTAAACGACATGCTTCACTGGGTAGATGTGTTTGAGTAACAGGATCCTCTAGAATAAATTTTGCATTTCAGTTAGCACCAGTTTTACAATTTATATCCAGATAAGGGTATACACTTGCTGTCACAAAATGAACTCATGGGCAATGACTACAGGAAGATTGTCTGAAGCTTTAAATGGAGCCACTCCTTAAAAAGTAGTTGTTTAACTTGTCTGGTATTTATCTTTCTCCTTCTGACTTATTTTGCTTAGCAATATCCTTTCAAGCTCCATCCATGTTGCCACGAATGGCACCATTTACTACAGTTAAACTATGTAAACAACCCAAGTGTCCCAGAACAGATGAGTGGATCAAGAAGATGTGGTATATATACACAATGGAATACTACTCAGATCAAAAAGGAATCAGGTTTTAAACACTAAAACAGAAGTTACAGTTTAACAGCCTGTAGTTTGACTTTTGAGATGCTATGTTTGACCCACACCATTGTTGTTTTATAAATTAATTCATGAGTTAATTGTAAGTAGGTAAAAATCAGAAAGATATGAGAGGTCAGGGAGCCTTGGTTTTATTCTCTGATTCCATTTCTAATGTTCCATATATATCACAGGAACTTGAGGTGTTATGCTAAGTGAAGTAAGTTCAGAAAGTGAAACACAATTATCAGATGATTTCTTCAACACGTGGACTATAAATAACCAAAGCAAATGAACTAACAAATCACAACAAAAACAACTCTTAGATTCTGTGAAAAATACAGTGCTTACCAGAGGGGAAGGGGTATGGAAGGAAAGAGTAAAGGGTGTCAACTTGATAGTGGGAACAACACTAGAACTTTGGTAGTGGGTAAGGTAAGGTTTGTACGTACATAGAGATGATCATAGACTCCCCAAATTTACGTACAATTATATAGCTTTGTAGATCAAGGTTAACTCCAGAATTATTTATAGTCAATATTGAGTAATAGATGCCTTCAATGAGAACAAAAGTGAACTAGTGAGAAGTACAAAAGGAGTATGACTCTATTTACCCTAAATAAATGAGAGTCAAAGTAGAGATCAACCTGATCCTCAGGAAGCAATCAGAAAACAAGCTTTTACACATTATTAGCTTAAATAAGTTTATACTTTAAATAAGTTGGAGTTGGTTCAGAGTAGGTAAAGAATATGAACTGGAGTAAATTATAAAGGTCTTTTATGTAACCATTATATTAAAGGCATTGTACTGGGGGGTCACAGTTCTGGAGGAATGCATGTAAGAGGCATTGTGCTTCTAAAAGTTGTATGTTCAATAGGACATGTCCATAAAGGTAAATATGTTAAATTTTGTTGGGTGGTATAATAAGTGCTGCAGAAGTAGATAAGAAATTGAGTGTTTTGGAGAGTAGGGTATGTGCTGCGTCCTCTGCACCCAGATACTGCTTCAGAGAAGAGCAACTTTGAAATAGGTTTCAAATTCTGCAAGCAAAAACACAGAGAAAAGCAGAAGGGCAAGCTGGAAGTACTTTGATAGTTCAGCTTTTGTTGATTGAAAACTATTTTGTCCTTGGCAAGAATGCAAGGAGATGTTTGTGAAAGATATTATGAAAGAAGACAGTAACTAGATGTGAGTGATGTAAGAAGATTGTGGAATATTTAGAAGAATATTACATTGATTAGCAGAACCTTAAAGGAAGTTAACATTTGAAAGTTGACATGTTATCATCAACAAAGTCTATTATTATTGCCACCCTTGTAGGCCATGATGATAGTTTATTTATATTAAAATATTTTAAATCACGGTGACTTCAAGGTACATATTTTCTTATAAAATGACTTTCATTCTTATTTTAGTATCATATATATTTACTGGCTTAAACTGAAGTTGCATTCACTCCCTGGTATTGCTATCAATGAGACTGACATCAGAGGTTGTTGGCCAACTTATCTTTTTACTGCAGCTAAATGTGGTTCCTTATTGTTACTGCAACAAATGTTAATTGCATCATCTTAGACAAGGGATTTAATTTCATTTACCCTTACTTCCCTTATCTGTAAAATAGGGATATTCATCACTTTACAGAATTGTGAAGCTTTGAAATAAGAATGATAAGGAATAAAATTAATAAATCAATTAGCACATAGTTTATAGCTGCTAGTATTATTGTTTTATTTTATATATTTGTTCATTCTCTTGAGTTTTTTTTTTTTTTTTTGGTCTTTTCTGCTTTCTATTTTCTATTTAGCTCTATGACACTCAAGGCTCAGTTCTTATTTCTTTCCT